AATGCCTTATATAGTATAAGGTGGTAACCTTTGACTTTTGTTAGTTTTCTGGTTTTGTTTTCTACTTTCAAGAAGCTTTCATTTTATTCTTTAATCAGGTATAGGTGAGACATGTGATACAGCATTGTGTAATTTAGACACATTGTGTAATTGAGACATCTGTGCTTTGCATTCTCTAAAGATGATAGATTTGCTTCAGATTTGCTAAAAAAAAAAAAAAAGTCTTTTTGTCTGCCATGTTCATTATCTTACTGTGATTCTGAAGTGGCTTCTTCTGTTTGAGTACAGCAGGGTTAGAACTTCAATCATGGTCTCTGAAGCTAATTTGTATCTTAACAAATTTCTATTTGTTTATTGCTTCCATTAATTTCCAAAGGCCTAGAACACTGTGAATCCAGTAAAATGTTTTATGTATGTTCTTGAACTTTAAGCCATTTCCTTTTTTCCTAAACATTTTAATTTTAGTTTACCTGGGAAATCAGAATTTATGTGACCTTACTCCCCCTTTAACAAGCTCTGAATTCCCTTCTTCCTGTGACCCATCACTTTGTTTCAGGTTAATGTCCTGCCTTTACTAAGTTGAGGATAAATAGAGGGCTGTTGGTGTCTCAGGGCTAAGGAGTGGCTTTAGATGCTAAAATGAAATATACATATTGTCACCTTTAAGTTACCCAGTGTGACAAATGTGGTTGCTGACATCTCTCACTTCTTTTCTCCAAATGTCAGCAGTAATCCATCTTCAGGCTTAAATGAATCTCCTAAGATGAAGCTGTAACCAGAGTCCTAGGCTAGAGGTCTGATGGGGGTAAGCAGTGGGCTGTGTCCCCAAGAAATTAGGTCCTGACACTCACTCTTAAAAAGGCAAAGGATTTGAGTCACTGAGGCCTTGTTGGGAAGGTGGAGGTTTGGCTTCCCAGCCCAGCGTCAGGACATTGACATGAGCCTTAGATCCAGACAGAGGACACACTTGAGTAGGGTGAGAATGTGCCCAGCCAGAAGGCTTGGCCAAACTGTGGTCTGTCTGTTCACCATCTCCAGTACTTGGGAGGCAATCTGGTTCCTCTGAGGTGATATTCCTGCTTTGGTGGAGACAGGGACAGCCTCTGTAATGATAACTCTTTCCACCAGCTGCCTGGGTTCTGCTTCCACTTTAGGGCCCCCAAATAACACACAGAGTCTTATATCAGTTGCAATGTTGCTGGCTAATGACTAGGATTTCTTATTTACTAGCTCAGTCTTAATTATCAACCATAACTACTAATTTATATATTTTTATAAGGACTTATCTTACCGAGGATGCCCACTAAAAGCTTTCAAGCATTATAAAAATTACAATGTGATTATATTCTATTTTTCAAGTGAATGATTACAATGAATACAAGTAAATAACATCGTGTTTCCTGTGTCCCTTACATGATTAAACATTTTGTGTATTACAGGTGAAAAAAATTATCTCCAAGAACCCATATACATTCAATTCCAAGTAGCTTGTTATAGATTAACAGAGTAAAAGCAAACAAAGTATTTTCTCAGCCAGTTCTTTTACTGGCAGGCTGCATTTTATAGTTAAAAAGAAAGGGTCAATCACTTTATTATACTCAAAAGGTAATCTTATAAAAATTCTTAAAAGAATCACAAATCTAAGTCTTTATATATGAAAAGCAATCAATCAGCTCTACTTTAAATCCTCAGGGTGCATACCCATTCATCAATATTTTTTTATATCAGGAAGCTGAGGGCAGAAATGGGTACAAGGAATTAATCATCATCTTTGATCACCAACCCATCCTAGTAAGAAAGGCACATCAGCTAATAAATAATAGGGCTGTCTTCATTCTTGTTTCTTGACCTCAATGAGTCCTTCATTCAACTATGTGCCTTTCTAAACTATAAATTGTTCCCCATGATTTTCTACCTCAGTGCCATTAACAAAAATATCTTAACCTAACCTTAAGTATTTAAACCTTTGTTTTTGCTGTGATGCACACTGAAACCTGTGAACACATCTCCTAACATTAAGATTGAAAGAACTTGAACTAGCCTAGCTTCTGGGACACAATTGTTTTCCTTAATCATTAACCTAAGTAACAGTCTATATGGCTCCTCAAGAGAAACTTTTTAAAGTCCTAGCTGCATGACACCTCCTTGCTCTTATTTTCTATACTCTGCAGCCTCTGCTTTATCAGGGGTGGGGTCAACACTATATTCTACCTTTACCTATATTAATTTTTCCTGCCAACTAACCTTTATCAAATCCCTTACTGTATTTATTAAAAATCTTTAATCATCAAAATTCTATTTAAACTAAGATTATTATTGTGTAAAATCTTTAATCACTTAAACAGTACAGCTTCATAATAATCCACAGGTAAAAATGCCCAGTAGAACGGGATATTTCCATGAGATAATCACACTGCATTAAAGGCAGAGGGGATCCCCCCACCCCCAATCACACCATGCCAGTCAGATACCAGAGAAAAATGGCAATGGCAAACATGTAAAGACACAGCAGTAACAAGAGACATTCTGGAGCTGAAGTCATCAGGGCCTTTTCTATCTGAGATTCACCTACCAGTGCCTTGCGTTTTGGTGGTCTTTCTTTCTTTCTTTCTTTCTTTCTTTCTTTCTTTCTTTCTTTCTTCTCTCTGTCTCCCTCCTCCCCCTCTTTTCTTTCTTGTTTTTTGAGACAGGGTTTCTCTGTGTAGCCCTAGCTGTCCTGGAACTTCCTTTGTAAACCAGGCTGGCTTCAAACTCACAGAAATCTGCTTGTCTCTTCCTCCTAAGTGCTGGGACTAAAGGTATGTGCCACCACTGCCTGGCTTGAAACTTTTTTTAAACAAACAAACAAAACCAACTAAACAACAAGGGCAAAAAATAAAATAGAAAATCTGGAGCTTGGAATTTAGCTCACTTGGTAGAGTGCATACCTAGCAAGTTTCAGGTTCCAGATTCAGTCTTAGCACCATGTAGTGCCTATAATCCCAGCTCTAAGAAGATAGAGGCAGGAGGATTAGAACTTCAGTGTCATCTTTGACTACATAACAAGTTCAAGGCCAGCCTGGGCTATATGAGACCATGTATTTAAAAAAGTGGGGGAGATGAGAATCTGGAAATGGCAAAATTATATATATGGAGAGGCCTGTTGTTGCCAGTGCCTATGGTGAAAAGAAAGCATTTATTGTAAGGGGCACAGGTGTCTGAAACGGTTGGAAATGGTCTATATCATTACTTCAGTGGTGATTACATGAATGTATAAATTTTCCAACATTCATTATGTTGTACACATTTAAAATTGGTGATGGTTAATATATGCTATGCTTCAAATGAAAGCAAACAATATACAGACCCAAGGGCCTCCCTCACCTTGGTGAACCTTGAGTTCTACTTCACCTGGGGAAGTAGCCTTTTAGCCTTATCATTTGGAAGGTCTTGTGGGGGCAGTTTTTAAAATTATGTTCATTTATTGACTTGTTTTGTGTTGTATGTATGTGAGTGCAGATTGGAAGTCAGAGGGTCACTTGTAGGAGTCTGGGTAGGTCCTTGGAATTGAACTCAGTTTTTCACGAGTGGTGGCAAACACTTTTACCCACTGAACCATCTTGCTGGTTCTGGAAAAGCTTATTATTAACAAGATGCTATTGGTCTATGTTTTTGTGGTATCTCTTTAAAGTGGGGAGCCCTAAACTGTTTTCATGGAACAGCAAATGATCCACTTACTTGCATTTTTGCCTTTTCTTTACCTCTTTCCCAACCTAGAAAAACTAATCGAGGGACTCAAATCTCCTGATACTTCTCTTCTGCTCCCTGACCTCTTGCCTATGACAGATCCTTTCGGCAGCACCTCTGATGCTGTGATTGGTAAAATCCCTGTCTGTTTCTTCAGTCATGCCTGTTATATATGTGTGTGTTTGTGGGGGGTAGCTCTGGCATGGGGAAGTGGGGGAGAGCAGAAGTGCCCTCAGGCCTCTGTAGCCCTTGTGCATGGTTTGAAGCCAACAGGCAGTGCTGTTAACCCTGCTTCTGTTAGTCCAAATGGAGCATCTTTTTCTGTTTTCCATGTGTACAACCTGTAACTCTGCTCTTTACTGATGACCTCTGATTTCTTCAGTAAATTTCTTGTGAATAAAGAAGAATAGTGGAAAACAGATGGTTTCTGATTGTCCCTAGGAACTTCCCTGAACTTATAGACTTGAGCTGATTGTTCTTTAGAAGGTCAATGCTTGTAACAAACACCCATACCAGGAATTCTGCCTGGCAGTTCAGCCCCATGGTAGTCCAGAGCAGTGGCTTGGTCTGCTTAATTTTTTTAATGCTATATGAGAAGAACCTTTAAAATGTCTGGATTACTAGAGGGTTCAGTCATTAGACTTTAGACAAGAAATGCTAGCACTCAGGGATGCCATGGTCTCACAGAAAGGTAGGACTCCATCCGTGAGTCCTCCCAATGTGCAGAGCACTTCCCTACTACATCATGGGATAGGGTGAGGTACACTTGAAGGTTCTGCATTAGATGGGAGATGTTTACACCAAGGCTGGCCCATTAAAAGGGTAAATTGCCCAAACTATTGATGAACGAAGCTGTTTTGGTCATCGTCAGCTTTTTGAAGTAGAGTATCAATCACTCTGTAGCTAGGCTGGCCTCAAACTCATGGCAGCACTTTTGTCTCAGCCTCTGTAGTTGTGGAATTACAGGTGTGAGTCACCATTGCCTGTCTTGAAGCCAATCTTTTCTGACATGGAAGAATTTGCTGCTTAAAAGTTGCTTGTATCCTGCACTTACTCATAGGAACTGGTGATCACTGCACCTTCCTGATAGTTAGCCTTGTGCATGCATGCCCAGTTATCGAAGTCCAGACAGTGGCAGAAGTAAGGTCACAGGCTGTGCTCTGCAGCTCACCTCAGACTTGGGAAACAAGCCTTCACAGGTTTTCCTGAGCAGCGTCTGACTTCTTCCTTTTCTTACCCTTTCCTCTCCACTGTTAATGCCCCTGATACAAAAGAAAAGGCTGATGTTGCTGTTGAGAGTCTCATACCTGGATTGGAGCCACCGGTTGCTCAGCGCCTCCCATCTCAGACAGAGTCTGTGACCTCAAACCGCACAGGTCAGTCAGAGCTGGCAGTGCAGTCGCCTCAGAGCAGGGCTTCCCACCCGTGACAGGTGTTTATTTGCATTCTGATTGGTTTGCAGTGGATGCCATGAATTGTTCTTACAGTCCTGGCTTCTAGATGTTGAGTATGTCCTTGTGCTACATAACTGAGTACTTTTTGGAGCCATGTTTTTCTTACGAATGACTCCTAGGCTTGCTCTGAATACAGAATTGTATTATTCAATATCTTTTTACAGGCCTGGAGATATACCTCAGTGACCAAGTGCTTACATATCAATCAATCCCCAACACCAGAAAGAAAAAAAAAAGATTCTCTTCACTGGTGGCAGGTTCCCCCTACCTCTTTAACACATGGCTGCTCAGATAAATGGCGCCTTTACCCTTCCAGTTGTTAAGCAGACATGCCTTCCACTTCACCACTAGCGTCTGGATCTGTGGAGCTCATCTCCTGCTGTTGATATTCTTTACCAGATCAGGGCTTCCATCTAGAGGTGATTCTCTTTTTGCTTGTGGGCAAAATTGAAATTGTCCTGGCATCCAGTGTCACTTTCGCTCTTACTTGAAAATTTCAGTCTTTGTACAGTTTCTTAGCCATGCACAAACAAATCTGATTGCATTCATTTTCATGAGTCCCAATTACCTTCGGGAGATAATAAACTAATGCATGGTGGGGGGAATCACCCAAAAGGCAGTGTGGTTCCTCTCGTTTTTTTCCTCACTTAGATGTTTTCTCCAAGTAAACACTCCCTGCTCTAATGATTCATCTCTGAATTTTACCTTCCCTAGTTCTTTACATAGTATTATGTTCAAAGGAAAATTCAATTAAAGACTACTAGAAAGAGGCATTTTGCATGGGAACCCGGGAATCATGGCAGGTTCCTTCCTGATCAGTTTCTGCCCTTCACTAAGAACTTTCCTCCTGAGTGGGGAAATGTTAAGTGAAACTCTGGTTGCAACGTTCTTTTTCCAATGCTAATTGCTGATACTGGGTTGTTAAGTTATATTGACATTTGAACCACAAACTTGTTTGATCAGCAGCTTCTGAGCTAAAACTCTTGCATTTATCTTTACTACCAAGTAGAATCTAGGATACATGTTTTTGTGGTTAGAAGTTCAGAGAGCTTAACATGCTTCTTTTGATTTTCTTTCTGCACCTTGGCTTGTACATACGGCCTATAAGTGCAATAACTTAAAAGTCAAGATATAACCTCACAATGTTGTTGTGTGCTGTTTAATGCCGCCGTTTCGGGGATGATGGTGACTGGACTCAGACTCTCTCACTGGGGACGACTCCCTGCTTGACTGCTCTCTGCTCTCTAACCCCACTGCTGACCTTCTGGAAGAGTTCGCCCCCATAGCACTCTCTGCTCCCGCTCACAAAGGTAAAGTCTTTCTTGGGCCCACATGTACCCTGGGGAGTTCCCCTTTGTCAAAAGTCTTTGTTAGTAAGGTGTTCAAGCTGTCCACTTCTATGGAAAATGTGGGTTTGTATTCTTAGCCACTGTTAGAATTCTTCTCAGAGTAGTTACTAAGCCCTAGCAACTACAGATAGGTGCAGAAATCACTTTCTGACAAGAACTGGGATGCAGATATTCCATGTTACCTTTGAGAGCCACCTGCCTTAAGGGGCAACCACGTAGATGCGGGAGCCCACTGACTGATTGTGGTTTTAATATGATACTCATTGGCCTCAGAAAGTAAAGTCATTTCATCAAGTGACTCAAGGTTTTGAGTGTAAAGAAGCACACCCCTCAAAAATCATTCCTCAAAAGTTAAACTTATGAAAGCTTTAAATATTATTTCGCCTTTGAGTCATAATTGATTACTGAGTTTCTCACTCTAATCCGTCATTTTCACTTCTTAGTCTTGGTTCCTTCTGATGTGAGATTTTGCAGGCAGAGTAGCTTGGGTTGGGTTCTGAGGTCTGTTGTGGTGATAGCTTGCTTGCACATGACACTTATTTCTGTGTTTGAGGAGTATTAGAAAATGAACAGGTTAAGCCCTTTTCAAAGGAAATTCAAGAAGGAAGCCTCCAGAGATGACTAAAAACAATGAGCTCATGGTAGCAGTGATGATAGCTGGTTTTGTTTTATGGCTGGCATGGGAAGTTACCTGTATAGACACTGATGGCTGGCAGAAGTGTGTCAGTAAGCAATGTGTAACCACACAGAAGCATTCTCTGCCAGATAAGTGCTCAGCTAGCATTTGCTGAGGATAGCTTTAATTAGAGTGGAGAATATTCTGGGTGTGGTGGCACATGCCTTTAATCCCACACTGGGAAGGCAGGGGCAGGTTGATTTCTGTGAGTTCCAGGGCTATTGGACCTACATAATGAGACACTGTCTCAAACAAGACAAAAGGACAACCACCACCCCAAAAGTGGGGGAGCATAGTCTAAGAAACTTATGCAGGTGGTCTTTTGTACCCCAGTATTCTGAGTTATTAAAAAGTCTTTTATTTTCTCACAAAGCAGGGAGTCTTGCCATTTTACTTGCTTTGTACATATTGGTTAATTCTCTTCCATTGGTTTTAGGTCATGGGGTCAAACTCAGGACCTTGCACTTACTAAAGCATACTCAGCCACTGAACCATGCCCCAGCCTCTACATGGTTGCTCCTCTCTCATCTCCTACCCCAGGCTTCAAGTGTTTCAATTGTTGTTAGTCAGGCCTCTGTTGACTCAGAAAATAGTGACATTTCAGAGATAGGGTCACAACTGTGATTATAGTCTTCTACAGAGTAGAGAATTCTTCTAATAGCCCATTTCTTAACTATTTATGAAATCTTAACATTGTAAGTTCTAAAGGTTTTTACTTCTATATACCTGTATTTTCCAGTTTTCTACTTTTATTTCAACTCAGAAAAATAAGTGCTTTCACCTTTAAGAACAGTGATTGTTCATAGTTGAAGGCTTGATGCCTCCTTCCTGTTCTCTCATTTGCTAATCTCTTCTTCTATTGTTTCTGCTTGTGTGCTTACATTCTGTATTAAGCTGCAGAAGATAGTAATCTCATCTCAGGTTTCGGTGTCGCTGAGGGCTCGGAAAAGGTGGCAGAAGATGAGTTTGACCCTATTCCTGTACTGATAACCAAAAACACACAAGGTAAGAAAGAGGCTGGAGAAAAGAGAAGAGCTTGACATCAGGTCTCATCAAAACTCTGTCCTTAGCCTGCATGGTGGATGGGATCATCACCATTTGGTGAAGGACACTGGATGATGGCAGTCAGTGTAGCCTGGACCAACATGAGAGGCAGGTGGAGATGCTGATCTGTATAGTTTAAAACCTCATTGACTTGGGGTTTATTTAGAGAAGGGTTAGTTTTTATGAAATGCCAAGCCAAAAAGAAAGTGCTCTCTAGTTGGTAGAAGTGTTGACCATTTTTTATCATAATTGGAAAGTATGTGATAGATGTTCTTCCCAGAGAGCTAACAGTGGTATTTTGGTGTCTGCTGCATCTATAGACTTTATGGACCATTCTTTTCCTTTTTGGTGGATTGAATCATTTGAGCATGCACAAAACACTAACCATACCACTTACTTATTTTTTAAAAGCATGTTCTTATTATAGAATCCTAAACTAATTCTCCCCAAAGCAGACATTGATCTGTACTTTAATAGGAGATGGCTTGCTGTTGGTAGGCTAGTAGACAGGCAGGACTTCTTAGGCAAGCGAGTTGGTTTGGAACCAGCGGCATCTCTGCAGTGTCCTGCCTCTACTGTGGTGTGCATGGAGTGAACTTCTGGTGGGAGGTGGTGACTAGCTAATGGTTATGTTTAGAAATCAACATGTAAGACTTTTGAAATGTGAAATGTTGCTTCTCTGGATTTCTTTGTTTTTCTTTTTCTCCTTTGCTTGCTCTGCACATCTAACCCTAATCCTCTGTGTTTTGTACTGAATCCTATCTTTCCACTTCCAGGTGGGCACTCTAGAAACAGCAGTGGGAGCTCTGAGTCCAGTCTTCCCAACCTAGCCAGGTCTTTGCTGCTGGTGGATCAGCTCATAGACCTGTAGCCGTGAGCCAGTAGCAGACGCAGTTCTGTAACCTTCATGCCGTAATACACATTTTCATTACGGAGTTATGAGAAAAATGATTTTTTTAAAAAAATCTGCAAATAAGGGACCCTCAAGCCCCTTTCTCCTACCCCTTGCCTTCTCCTATAGAAATGATAAGGAAAGAAAAATCTCTGACCCTCCAGATCCGTTCCTTGGCCGGCTCCTCTCGTTAGTTTGCTGTGTTTTCTCATTCCCCATCTTCAATAGCACTATCTTAACTCAAGCGCTAGCTGCCCTGAGCTTCACCTCTGCTGGAATCCACTCACAGAAGCTTGACTGTCACTGAGCCTGTGATGGACACTTTGTCTCATTCTTGCTAGGAATGGCCCCATGTCAGTCTTATAGCCTGTCTCCCAGATGCTGATGAATGTGTGTCCATTCTTGCTTTTTATCCTGATGCAGTATCATGAGGAAATGGCAGCTATGGCTGGTCTTAACCCCAGGCAGTAGTCTGGAGACGGGTGTGCAGTTTAAACAGGGCAAAACTAACAGGATGTGTTTGTGAAGAGAAATTGGGCTCAGCTCTAACCAGCTATCTTTGACCTTGTTTGGTAATAGACTGAGCCAAGGGATCTTACACCCATGCAATCTTCCCAGCTATCTAGTTTGTCTAGCAATCTGGCTTCCATTGAATTGTGATTTCTCAAATCTGGAGGCGTGACTGCAAGTGCTTGAGATCCTTGAATAAATGCATATGTGATAGAAATACCAAGCATTGCCATCCTTCCATGTTACCTGGCCTAACCTGGGATCTCAGAATTAGACCAAAACAAGACAGTGGTGGGAACATGATACCTTTTACTAGAAGACTTTTCATGGGGGGTGGATGGGGAAGGGAAGGAATTGTAGCAGAAACAGATGTATTTTTCTTGTGATTTTTTTATTTTGAATCAAATATTGTAAATTGTGTATAAATGAAGATGCTGAATAGTCCTGTTTTCACTTGGCATTTCAAGTCTGACATCAGGTGTCTGTACAGGGTTTTGATCTCCTTCGCTTGTATAACCACATAGCAGTCCTACAGTGTAACACACGGAACTGTTTTAAGTAGAGTGTATGTCTTGCTCTAAGCTTTCAGCAGGCGTCTGTCTCTGTAGAACAAGCATGTTGTTTATTTTCAGATAATCAGAAATAAGTGTGCTGGGCACAGTTTGACTGTGGTGACTTACCTTCTTTCTGGTGTTTAAATAGAAGGCTGAAGCTGATGGAATATGTGCAGTTGGCTTTCCTTGGCTTCCTAGACTTAAAAGACCAAACAAAGAGCAGCAGTTCTTCACTAATCTTATACTACTGTTCATAGATTTAACTAAAGACCCCTGCACTTGCCCTACAATATTGTCTCCCGGCCACCCTCTGTGTACTTACTCATCAAGGTGTGTTTCCGTTTCGTTATGTGGAGCGCTTTTGTCAGATCACCCTTTAGAAGAAGAGTGGGCACAGAGAACCCCCTTCCTCCAGTGCCATCCTTCAGGGTTGGAAGGGAAACTCTTAAGTTCATCAGATTTGAACAAATAAAACCCCAAACCTGTTTGCTTGTTCTCTACTGCTACTTTGTTTCTTGCTCACATTTGCACTTTAAGTGGTGGGGAACCAACAACAGCAGCCCCAGCCTGCAAGCACTGCCTTCTGGAGGGCCACCGTTGTCTCCAGCAATGTGACAGCAGGAAGAGTGGACATTCAGTCTTCCTTCTGACTTTAAATCCTTCCTGTGCCAGCTGAACCTAGATGAGCTGAGGAAAGGCCTCTGCTAGAAGAGATGGTTTCCACAGTTGAACAAGGCATGGTGTGCAGCGGAGGATGGAGGAGATTTCGTGAAGAGCTCTCCACAAGTGGGCTGCAGGGAAGCAGGACTTGGGTAACCCTTGGTGGACAGGAAATGGTTGGGTACTCTTTCCTGGAATAGAAAGAATGTATAAACTAATGAAGGAAATGTTTATTTTTAAATAAGGCTACTGTTTCAGTTCTGTGTTTTCATATTTTTTCTCATGAAAATGTTAGCAATATAATGAAATGTCTACTCAGTTTAATTGCAGCTATGAAGAGTGCAGTCTAGAAATTAGGTTAAGTGTCTCTAAACCATTCTTTCATGCGTCACCCGTAATTATATTGAGATATATTGTGTAGTCATTTGGCTCAGTAAGGCTTAATGGAGACACTAATGAAAATTAACAGACTCTTGCCAAGGAAGATGGTAAAGCCTGGGCGAGGTAACAACAAGAGACCTGGGCTGATCCTTCAGGAGTTAGGATTCAGTGGGCAGAGCTATTTTTCTGTTGAGAAATACATTCTCAACAGAAGGCTTGGTCAGCACAGCCTTCCTTTGTGTCATTCTAAGCTGAGGGAGTGGCTTGGTGTGTGATAACTGGAGATGCACAGAACAAGACTGAACTATATGAGGGGCTGCAGAGACTGTCCACCAGTCCATTTACTTTGTCTCACTGGTATGGGCCTGACTGAGGGGTGGTGAGAAAAGGGGCCAGGGCAGCTCAGACCCTGGCAAATGACCTTGAATAGGCATTTGACCCCTCAGAACTATGTTGGATTTTTACACAGGATGGATTTGGATAGGTGATGTCTGAGATAATAGAAGCGTAGCATTGTTACACTGTTGTATTTAGAAGGACTGTGAAGGATCATATAATCCGGATGTCCTTCAGGTAACTTCTGTGCTCTTGCCATTCCTACAGCTTTCTTCAGCATTTACTCACAGAGGATCAGAATGAGAAATTTTTAATCTTGTTGCTATTTGCTGGTTACCTGAATAAAAGCTCACATCATTGAAAGCTTGGAGATTTTCCTTCTGTAATATTAAGCACACACAACCTTACCTATTGCAGTCATACAGAATCCAGAGATTTCTATTATTTTAACCTGAATAATCAGGGATTTGCCATTAAAATATGGGCAAATACAATGTGCATATTTTTTATTTGATCTTCTCTCTGCTGAGTGGAAGTAATTACTGTACCAGAAAATATCACAAATTGGTATTTCCCTCCCAGATAACCAAATTTAATTCCCAAAGTTTCTAAAAAAAGAAAAAAAAATATGTGGTTCTCAGAGAAGATGAGGTTTAAGCAGTCACTTCTAAGTAGTATTATAATTGTTACAGTGTTTTCTGAAATAGATCAGAAATGTTTTGTGTGTTTGATTGCTCCCTCCAGAAGCATCTGATTTTGCTTGGGAAGTGAATGCTAACCCTAGCAAAGCAGGCCAGTGTCATCTGAGTTGTTTTTAAACTCTTGTCCTTAGGCATAACATTGCCAGGTAAGGTAGCAAGAATATGGCTGTGTTTTCTCAGTAGCCTCACTCACAGCATCCACAAGTATATTCTTTCTTATGTTTTTTTTTTTTTTTCTTTCTCCAACACCTCTGCCTCTGAGTAACGCTGAATATTCCAAAACTCAAAACCACTCTGGTAAGAGGAAGACATTGAAACTCCACAGGCAGTTCCTAGAGAAAACTTCATAGCTGAGAGAGATTCACCAACACTGAGTAAGGGAAGGTTTACAGTCCCCTGGTCCTTAGGAAATTTAAAGATACATATTTTTAAGCTTCACTAAAAGAGGTTGTCACTCTGCTCAATTGACATTTCACATTGGACTTGGCTCCTCTTGATCAGATTGGAATTCTAGAACTTGGATTTCTAATAATTGGAAGAAAACAAACCCAAAAGGGAATCTGTATTTCTTAAGATGTGATATTTTTGTAGTTTGCAGTTTTCATTTCCTGTACTTCTCCTGCTATCCCCCAGGTCAGGATTAGTTCTGTCTTCAGTAGTGCCCTAAGAATGAGGAGACCTTTGCGATGGGGGTGGTGGGGGTCTATGCTTAGTGAGCAATCAAATGCTGTAGACAACTTCGACCAAGCTAAAACCTCCTGTGACAAGGTTCCTCCGGCATCAAGTCTTTAACCTTCCTGGTCTGCAAGATGACCTGCATCCTGTTGCCACTGGCATGGAGTTTGGGGATGTGAATGACACCATCACCCAGAACAACAGAGTTAAGCAAATCAGACTGTCTGATAGAATGTTTAGAGTGGAGTGCTTAGTGAAACACTTTAGTTACTGCAAGCTAATTTATATCCCTCTCCAGAGACTAATTTTACCAGTGCAAAATTAGACCTTTCCTTTCCACAATGATAATGTTCCCCAAGTTGAATGTACTTGGCTTTTGTGAACTGAATGAATCCCAGATGGCCTCCATTTCAGTCTGTAACAAGATATCCTCCTATGTAGTTTCCCCTGGGTTTCCTTTCACTAAGTGTGAGGGAGGAGGCCCGGAGATAATGCTAACTCATGCAGAGTTCCCAAAGGGTGACAGTTACTAGGAGGGAAGTCCTTCCTTGGTTAAATCACTTTGATGCAGTGTCCTGAATTCATGTCTGTGGGTATTCTCTTCTGCCTTGTTTTGCACTCCTTTGTCACCTGGATGGATTCTTACCTTAGGTCTTTACCTTGTCTTCCCCAGGGAAGCAAAGCAAAGTGATGTAATGAAGCTATCTTGTGCAGTAAAATGTGAAAAAAATGAACACTGCTTCGCAAGTATTGTATAAATAAGTCTGTAAACAAATTTCTTATGTAAACATACAGAGGAATAAAGCTTTTATCTGTTCAAACAAATACATGATGTTGAGATGTATAAATAGCTTAAGGTAGCTGTTATATTCCTGTAGAAAGAACTTGAGCACATTATTTAGTGGCTGCAAATACCAGTGGACAAAAAAAGTGTGGACAGCTGTGCAAATTGTCCTAAGAATGATTTAGTGATCATCTGCAAGATGTCCTGAGGAAGGTTTAGTCAGTGGACACCTGTGCAAGATGTCCCAAGGATGGTGTATTTAGTGGACCCTTGTGAGATGTCCCTAGGATTAGTGAGTTATGACCACTTTGGAGAATGAAGCCCCTTAATGTCAAGAATGAGAAACCTAAAAACACACATTAGCCAGGACCATACTTGGATAACAAAATGGCACCCATTTGCAGCTACTCTCCTCTAATTTAGTCTTGAATACACACCCAGCCCAATTAAACATCAGGATGGCAAGAGTATATCTATGCCCAGTGAGAAATGGCTCTCTTTAATTGCTCCTGGCATCCAGTGGTAGGCTTTCCTGTTACTGCCAAATGCTAAAGTTCACAATGAATACCAAAGATTGTGGGAACTACAGGCTGCTAAGAGTGTGGTTCCTGGGTTTGGTTCTGAGACACCAAATTTCAACTGATGTCACACACATCATTGGGGTGTTTTTCAATCTCTGGTAATCCATTACTTCAGACTTGGGCAAGAATTTCAGTTATAACTGACACTTATTTCAGTTATAGTGTAGAGACAAGTAGAGTTCTAACATACTACACTAAATTTGAATTTCAGATTTGGGGCCAGCCACATGACTCATTGGGTAAAAGTGCCCATGCCAAGCCTGATGACCTGAGTTAGAGCCCATGGGGTGGAAGGAGAGGACTGACTTGTACAAACTGTCCTGTAACCTCTGCTTGAGCACTGTGCCTTATGTTTGTGTGTGCATACTAGTAATAACACTCCTTTAACCTTAGATTTTGCTTCCCTAGAGAACACTCTACTGACCTCACTGTCAATCAGATAGTATTTCCGGGGTCAGTCATCCCCAAGAATGCCACACTTTGATCTCTGGGTGGTGAAGCTAACTCTCCAGGGTATGAGTTCATACTGAAATCTATGTAACTTACATCCTCAAAATGGAGCCAAAAGGAGTTATTTCTACAAGTTTCTAAAACAAAAAGAAACATGACCCAGTTTGATGGAATTGTAAGAGAATGCCTCATGATGAACAAAAGCCTTATACACACCGAGGCCAGGTCCTGGGCTAGGAGAACAGGCTAGAATTTTTTATTTTTTTTATTTTATTTAGTTCTTTGGTTACAAGGTATCTGCTGTGGCTGTCATTAATCAAAGAACTCGACCATTCCATGAGGGTATATTGGGTGGATCCTTAGGAGCCAGGCTGCTTCAGAGGTAGTCTGCCATTGCCTCAAGTTCGTTTCCACTGCAAGAGCTGTTCACTCTAAAAATACTTCTAAGAGCACATTCACACACTAAAGTGAGCGACAGCAAGACCTTTAACTGCCAGTAAGATGTTACAAATCTCCCCTGAATTCTGTTGTTTCCCGAGCTACTACCATCAGGACTCCCTGGAGTCATGCAGACTTCTAGGGGCTCTATAGCCTTTAGTATTTCTTTGGCTGTCAAAGTGCTAGGCCTGGTCACTCTGCCTTAGTCACACTGCACCTCCAAGAAAGACTGAGAGACAGACTTTTCAGGAAAGCCCTGTTAGGTGCACTTTTCCAATCTTAAGAATATTCATAGTGAGATAGAGGAAATAGCTATGATCCTTTTAAACAACGAGAAACTGATTTTCCCTTTAGACTTGATGCTGTGGTGGTTTTTTTGTTTTGGTTTGGTTTTTTATTTTTTGAAACAAGTTCTCACTATATATCTTTGACTGGAACTCACTATGTTGATTAGGCTAGCCTCGAACTCACAGAGATCCATCTGCCTTGGCTTTCTGAGTGCTAGGACTAAAGGCACGAGCCATCACACTCAGCCAATTCTGAGCTTTTCAAAGCTGTCAGTATTTAAATATAAAATATCTTACTATTTATTCACTTCAAAATTCAAAGATGTACTGAGTTGGTGGATTTTTTTTTTTTTTTTTTTTTTTTTTTTTGGGTTTTTTTTTTTTTAAAGACCTGTTTTTTTTTTTTTTCCCCTTGTGAAAAGACAAAAAGAGGCCAGCCCAAAAAAAACTCAAAGCTTGCTACGTGACAGTAGTTTACATTGGGTGAACATGTTCCTCATGTCACATTGTGGATGAGGGAGTTCTCCCCTGCTACCCCATAGCTCTCAGGATGTAATCTACATTGAAGGCATTAGGCCTGGGTCTTTAGATAGATAGATGCTTTTTGCAGTCTGTACATGACTTTGATTGAATGAATCCAATTTCAGATCCTTCAAATCACTGACTACAGTGAAAGCAGTATTATTATCAAATAAGTCCATACAGTACCAGGAGTAATTACTGGCTTGACTGAACCTTCTCTCTGTGTGTGCTAATGAATGCTTTGCTCTGTTGCATAGCCATTGTAGAAGCAATAAATTTCAGGTAGTCTTGGAAAGGAGAAGAAGTGTACCTTAATTTCGTCTAAGAGGAAATAGCCTATGGAATCTTAGGAACCTCTTACATTTCTTGGTGAGTTTTATTTTGAAAGTTAGTGGCTCCCCCTTCCCCCTTCACTTTAGTTCCCTCACAGAAATTATTACCTGGGTATCTCTGAGATAAATCTAATCTCAGTTGTTTTGCCTGAGAAATTACGGTTGTGTCCATATACACTGTGAGGGAACAGGAAGTCTTCATTCCCTACTGGTTTCTGTATGCAAGAGAGCTATAATGCAAGAAAGAGTTTATTCTCTTCAAAATCACATTCTTCAGCTATTATTTAAAAAGCCACACTGTACCAAACAGGATTCAGCTTAAATTTTGAGTTTAGAATACATTATGTTCAAACTATTAGATAGGGAAATAAAAACTGAGGCAGGGGGACTACTGAAAATTACTCATTGTCAACTGATTAAAATGAAGCACTGCTTTTTAAAAAAAGTTACAGGATTCAGAAATACGGTATTTTTGTATTGTGTCTTTTAATCAAGTGTTCAGCCCCCCCTTTGTGTTCTCTATGGTGTAAATCCTTGATAAGTGCTTTTTCAATAAATCAATTTTGTAGCCCCTTCCTCTGTGCTGTGTGCTTAGTTCCAGCAAGGATGCAGTAGATGGCACTGTGTAGTCGAAAGTCCTTCTGGTGAGGCCTTCATCAGATGGAGAGGGCCCAGTTGGGAGGGAGTGGCCAATAGTCAGTGTCCTGATGGGTTGGGACATTCTGGTGATATGTCTTTTTTGAGCCCATAATGGAATATATTTTGTCCCCTACCCCTCTACCCACCCACCCTTTCTCTGGATTCTTCTTGCTTAGTTACATATGCCTTTTTCCTACCCTCTTGCTAACATGTGCCCAATGACATACTTCTAACCTGCTAATATTTCTTGGAAGGTAAGCTCTATTGCATTCTGATAATTGTGTATTTGATTTTAAATGCCAGAGCACCCAGAGGCACCTCTACCTACATTACCACTTATGCTAGTACATTGGAGTTTGCTAGTATTTCTGCTTAAAGAACTTAATGGCGGATTCATTAAACAGAGATCTTTGCTAACTTGGGACACTAAAAACAAAATTCTAGGGCCACTCCAGCCAAAGTTGCTGTCATCTAGTATGACTCAGAAAGTGCCCTCCATATTTGCATCAGGCACCACGTCCTCTGTGAGCACTGCTTTTACTGACAGCCAAGCTTTCTGCCTGTCAGAGGGTCTGTCTTTCTGAATGTGGAGCACATGCCAGATGCTGAGTTAAGTTCATCCCCAGGCAGTGGTTCTCCATAGCCCCAGACTGTCTGGTGTATGTGGAGAGGAATGACTGGGCTTGTTTCCATTTGGCTCTGAGCCAGGTAGAGCAGGTGTCTGTGCCTGGCCTGCAAGTAGGAGTGTTGCCTAGTTGCCCTGAATGTCTGTGTGCCTAACATTTCCACCTTTCCTGTTCATTATGTCTATCATGATCCAAAGTATGAGATTGTGGTTGTGTCCTCAGTCTGTGTGCATTTACCTTGCTTGACTTTTTATTTTTCTGTTTTTCCATTTTCAACATCTATCATTTGGTTCCACAATGTATCTGCCTCGGTTGACCATTAAATGTTCCAAAAAGCTCTGACCCAGCCTCCACATTAATTCTAAATTTTATGCTTTTCTAGGTCTCCAGAGAGAGCCCAGTCCTTGTCCTGTAATTACTGTAGAGCACTTTAAAGAACCCGTGGGTGCCAAAGGCCTCGCCCTCTATCCAGATCCCTGCAGAGTTCCTGGAACAAAGACCCAGAACACCTTAGAATCTGACTCCCTGACCCGAGAGGGGCCTTCCAGCAATAGCTCCTTCCACAGCAGTGAGGAGGAGGGCACCGACCTGGAGGGGGACGTGCTGGACTGCAGCGGGTCTCGGCCTCTCCTTCTGGAGTCTGAAGAGGAGGATGAGAGCTGCAGGCCTCCCCAGGAGAAGCTGGCAGAAGCCACTCTGTTCTCTGAACCTGGAGTGTCTGCTAACCCAGAAAAGGGGGGACAAGGCGGGAAAAAGAGCCAGTTCTTGCCAGTCAACCAGCAGGCCTCAGATGGTCTCGGAGAGCCTGATGTCTTTGCCACAGCCCCCTTCAGGAGCTCTCTGGTTCCAGCAGATGACATGGACATTTTCTCCAAAGCCCCTTTTGTCTCCAAGGGCAGTTTAGCTCCTTCCCAGACAGAGGAGGTGGACGTGTTCTCCAGAGCTCCTTTTACCAAGAAGAGGAGTGTGGAGGAGTTACTGGCCGTACAGGGCTCCTCACAGGATTTGCCAGTGCAGGCCGGCCTCAGTCAGCCTGGTGAAGGGCCCCTGCTTCCAGGCCTCGATAGAGCTATGTACACCCCTGCCCAGACGCAGGGTGTCTTTACGCAGCAGGCTGGTCTCCCTTCCCACTCTGTCCAGGTGGCAGACCATTTTGACAGCAGCTCTCCCAGAGGTTCTCCCATGGAATCTGGGAGTAATCCCAGTGACAGAAACAGAGGCCTGCAGCCCCAGAAAGAAGCCTTTTCTGGGCCGGTGGCTGGCAAGCAATTCCGCCCCCAGGCTTTGTCCAAATATTCCCGACACTATAGCCCAGAAGATGAGTCAAGTCCAGAAGCCCAGCCCATCGCTGCCTACAAGATTGTTTCACAAAGCAATAAGCAGTTGCTGGCTGGCTCTGTGTCTGTCACATCTCTGTCCTCCAGGACTACAGAGCTGCCCGCTGCTGACCCTTTTGCTTTAGCGCCCTTCCCTTCAAAAGCAGGCAAACAGAAACCCTAGGAGCAGAGGCCCAGCCTGAGGCCTGTCTCTACCTACCCCACCAGCACCCATCACACCACTCCTGGCAGGCCTTCCAGGGAGTATCCACTGTGACCTTGTAGTTCCCTGCCTCAGAGCAGAATCACTTCAAGGCAACTAGCAAGGTTGCTCTTTATGTTACACTTCCTTTTTTTGTTTAAACTCTTTTCTGGACTTGTAGGTATTTCTGGTCCTTCACATAGGCCTTCCACCTGCAGTCAGAATTCTGGTTCTTTCCTGCCCAGAAACCTTTTTAATCAAGGAATATTTTACCCCCAGTTACCAGAGGCTGTATTACACCACAACTTTGAATGCCTGCAGCTCCTATTGGGAGTCACTTGAAGAGTCAAGATGAATTCTCTCCAAGACTTGACAATACTCTTGGAACAGAGAGATTTCTAGAAAAAAAAAAAAGAGCAATATAAACCTACTGCACGTCTAAAGAAGTTAATCCTTTTGCCACACTCATCTTTCATTCTTGTGGAGCCAGCAGCTCTCAAAGGATCTTTCACTGATTCCATATGAGCCTAGCTGGCCCTTGTGCACAAATGTCTGGGTGCATGATGTGGCTCAGATTCTCTGTCTTGTAAAAGAGCACACAGGTGGAAAAAGCTCACTCTGCCTTCCCATGGTCCACTTTTTAGACTAGTATGGATACGTGTGTGTGTGTGTGTGTGTGTGTGTGTGTGTGTGTGTGTGTGTGTGTACAAGAAACATTTTCCTTTGAGTGAAACCACCATGCCTACCTCCATTATCAAATCATTTTCTTATGTTTGCCTGTTGACCTGACTTGAACCTTGGCTTTATTTGGATGTTTTTCTCATGGTAAAATTGAAGTTGTTAGACCGTATGGGGCAATCCTGCTGGAACTGAGGTTTCAGAGTAGATTTTTAAAATTCCATTTACCTGGTTTTGAAAACTCACATTTCCCAAAATGGACATGGTAGCTCATACCTGTAGCTCTTAGGAAACTATGACAGGAGGACTGCCACAAGTTAGAGGCTAGCCTGGCCTTAATACTGAATTCCAAGCCACCATATCTCAACACCCTCTCCTACTCAAAAAAGTCACTGGTCCTTTTTTTTTTTTTTTCTGTGGCAACAGGGGAAGAATGTCTTTAGAGTTCCAGTCACTGGAAATCCTTCCTGGGTATCATTATTATGAAATTCATTCATAATGTACCTAAGCTACAAGCCAAGTTTGCCTGCACCCAACCCCCACCTCTTCCCATACATGTCTGTTGCCTCTTGAGTGGGTACAAACCTGATACCTAGGAGTAAGCTGAAAATGAAAAAGAACTGGTCAGCTGTCCTTACAGATCTTTAAATTGTCTGTTCCGTTCAGATGCTAAAGTAGAACAGACAGGTGACTGGCTGTGTTTTCAGAAGTGTGTTTTTATTTCTGGAAAGCTCTGACTCATTCCTAGTGTTCTCATATTCTCCATTTTTAGAGCCTTAAAAGAAAACTTGTGACTCCACCGGGAGGTTTCTGTTGAGGAAGTTGAGTTTAATGGAAAGAGTCTGTACCAAATTCCGTGCATACTTACAGCTTCTAGCATACAGTTCCTCTACGTGCTTGGGGGAAGTGTGGAGAGTTGTGCACCAAACTAGATTAGTGATATAAAAATGACTAGAAGCCAGGCATGGTAGCACACTCCTGTTAGCAGGGCACTTAGGGGGTGCAGGCTCAAGGCCAGCCTAGATTACATGAGACACTGTCCCAAAAAATAAAAGAAGAATTACCTAAAATCCATCCAGTCATGAAGCCTAAATGCCAGGCTGCACGTGCACTCAATTAGTTGTGATGTCCTTTTGAGTTTGAAAGTTAGGATTTGGCTGTACAACTCTGTGGAAGAATACATGCTTTGCATGCACCATGTTCTGGGTTCCGTCCTTGTCACACACAAAAAAATGATAAAACCCAAGACTCTGGACGGTAACATAAGAGTGGTTACTTTCTGCTGGGTGTGGTGGCAGGCACCTTAATCCTAGAACATATAAGGCAGAAACAGGTGGATTTGTGTGAGTGTGAGGCCAGCCTTGTGTGCATAGCAAGTTCCAGGACAGCCAGTGAGTGAAAGCCTGTCTTAGGAGGGGAAAAAGGGAGCTATTTTCAGTACTTTTCTTTTTGGTGTTCTACACCTGTTTAAATAACAGGCATATATCATCCTCCCTCCTCCCCACCCCCAGCAGTGGTTGCCAAGTGAGGACTCCACTAGAAACCTGCCTTTCACTTCAGTAAACTATTCTCTCTAGGAATTTGATTTCTCAAAGTTATTATTTTTGAAATTTTTATACTAGTGGATACAAACTGGTCTTTCTGTTAAATGAGTAGTTTGGCTAATGTACATGGAACTTTGCAACCAAACTTCCCATGCTTCTTGTCAGGTGAAGTCCTCCAAGTCATGTGCAAAAAGGATGGGAATGTTCAGAGTCCTCCCTTGATGTCACAGACTCTTGCCGGATTGCAGCATACACCTGTAGTCCCAGCTACTTAGAAGGCTGGGCAGAAGGACAGCTTGAGCCCAGGATCTCAAGGCCAGCTTTGGCAACATACAAGGACCCATCTCTTGAATAGAAATTTGAGAATGCAATGTCAACATCAGCTATGTAACAGTGCTGCAAACTGCTGTAACTTTGATCACTGTATCACTCCATCTAATTAAATAGTCATTATAATTCACAAGGTCCAAATTAGGATAAAATCATGGACTCTTTATTTTATATAGTTGAATCATTTGATCATTTGTGAAGTATGGGCTTTCGGGCCTGTTTTTATCTACTGAGTGGAAAGTCTATCTACCATCTTTGAATAGGAAATGAATGTGACCACATGCAATTTTTTTTTTTTTTTTTAATGCGGCAGTTAGTGAAGGAAATCTGACAAGAGACTAGCTGACAGATGAGTTCTGAAGGAAGTGCTGTGGAAGAGTGTGGATTACAGGATCAGTGGGTAAGATCCAGTGTCCTGGTGGGAGGCCATCCTGAGTGGATATTTGGAAGTTTGTTTTACAGGTAATTAGGAGTGCTGAAAGTCTATGAACCAATAGCCGGTTCCCAGTGACCGTACTCTAACAGTTTTTTTTAGTAAGGAAGGGGAAACATTGTCAACAAAGTCCTGCACTTTGTTTTAATTTCTGCTGTGTGTTAGTTGCTTTGTATATTTCATAGGAAACACAGGAGACTGTCAACTTTTGACTCAGTAGAAAGAGATGAGTCAGAATATCCTTAGACAAAGCCTTAAGCCTATCATGTACTAATGAACTCCTGAATGATGTGCTAGGCTGGGGACATAGCTCAGAGAGGGAACTTGGCATAGGTGAAGCCGTGAGCTCTTCCCTGTTAGCTGACTAATGAGCACTGTTAACAGAGTTAACTTCTGTGTAATGGAAAATGTCTCACCAATTTCTTAGGCTTACAATACAGCTCTTTAGCACCAAGTCCATGGTTAGCGCCAAAACAAATGAAATAAAATAATGAAATGAATATCTGTGGCAGGCACACCTATGATCCCAGAGGCAAGAGAATTGTGAGTTCAAGACCAGCCTGGGCAGCTTAGCAAGATTTTAATATTGAAATTTCAAGAGGGTTGGTTTTGTATTTAGGTGGTAGAATGCTTACCCAGCATGTGCAACCATTGGATTTAATTAACTATGGTAGTGGGAGACAGAGAGCCATAGATGGGTCTATCATGAGCAATCTAGTCAGGAAAGTGAACAGAAGCTGGAGATGGAATGCAGATTTTAGTTCATACAGGCTGTCTTGGTTCACTTGTGAGATTGAAGGCCTGTACACTGTCACACGCCTCAGGGTGTGTATGTGTGTGTGCGCGTGTGCTAACAGTATCCCACTCACTAACCCATGTTGTGTCTCAGTTTCATCTGTCAACTGAGATCTTCTAGATGTTCAGACAGCGCTGTCTTACTGGCCTGTTGTGTATTTCTTACATATTGGACCATGTGTTTTCAGCTACTCTTCACTGGTGCATGAAGTATTAGAGTGGTCTGATAAGAAATTCTGTGTTTTTATTCTGTAAATGAAAATAATCAAAATATGTATCAAATTATATAATATGTATGAATTACTTCAAATAGGAAACTTGAGTGGAAAGTTGGAGCAGGAGATGCAGTGCCTTCTCCAGAGGAACCAGGCAACTTCAGTGGAGTGCATTTGGGTCCCTCAAACGTAAAGAGATGTTGCTCTCTGCCGTGTCTTTGGATTTCAAACTTGAGAACACTCCAAAACAGCTGCTGGTCATAGTATTTTTTATCATAATCAAGCTTACTTTGATGAAAGGTGGTTTTCAGGAGTACAGCGGTAGCAGGCAGGACACCTTGACACTTTCCATGGCCACCCTGCTTCCCAGCCCTCCGGTGCTTGCCTAAAAGAATAAACTGGGGATTGTAAGTGAAATCATGTCATTGAGTGATAGTCTTTGTTAATCGATATTTGTTTTGTTCTAACCATCAGAACATTTGAAAAATTAATAAAAATTTCACAAAAGGTTTCAAAATGCTTAAACAAAAAAGTAGTGTCTAGTTGTAAATTGTTTTTGTTCTGTCCCCAGAGGTCTTTGTGAGCCCTCCCCATCCCTGCTCCCCCTTAATTTCCTCCCTAACATTCTCCTGTTTTGTCCAGACCAATAAGTGGGTAGTGAACTGTCATACTAACTTCCAGGTGTTTCCCTTGCTACTGTAAAATTTCATTTTAAGATTCAGGCCAGCCTTGACAATCTAACAATGAATTGGTTTATTCTCCCCTAGAATAAAGGACAGAGGAGGGTTGGCAGGACCCAGCTTTCCTCTGTGGGGTTGTAACCCAGAGGGCACTCTCCACCCTGATCCTACATGGCTCTAGAATGAGTTTATATGTGAAAGGACTCTAGAATAGCAAAAATAGCTAAGTGCTGGCCATGGGGGCCCATGCCTGTAATGAAGCAAGAGGTTCTCTGTGAGTTCAAGGGCTATATAACAAGACCTTGTCTCTCTCACACACACACACACACACACACACACACACACACACACACACACACACACAAATGCTAAATATTAACTACATGTGGCTTAGGCCAAATTTCTATAACGTGTAATTCTATACGTTTTGTCAGCTGTATTTCAGCAACCTCTGACTTAGGAAAGTGTTACACATTTTGTAAGTTGATAGGAAACATTAACTGTGCTGCCTTGTGGTAGGAAGAACCATGTGTATATATACACCAAGGAGATCAGATTCCTTTGGCAAGGAATTTCAGAATGGATTTTTCAACAGCAGTCAAGGATAGGTCAGGGTTGACTGATACCCAATACTTAGTGTGTTGACCCATATCCAGTCTCCAGCACCTTCATGCTGAGGTATTGGGAGACAGTAAAATCTTTCCCTTCAGAAACCATGAAACTCCTGCTGTGTTCTGCAAGTCTACCAAAGATTGTTGTGTGAAGAGTGTCAGCATCTGTGTGAGTGAACAATCACCCTCCTGCTTCCTTGTGGTGTTAACTCTAGCGCTTCCAGTTAATCACCTAAAGAGGACTGGGGAGGGACCACAGGCAGTTAGCATCAGTAACTCACTTCCCTTTAACCAAACCTCTGATTTTAGCATCAGAGTTGTTTGCATCTGTGGTGAGGGAATTGACTAGCCATTGCTTCTGCCTCCTTCCCAAGTAAGCACCTTCTTGTGGGTGGCACTGGGAGGACTGTGGTGACCTGCACCGCAGGGCCTGAAGATATCATTTTGAATGGAACATTTGATGTCATTTTTAGGGAACAGAAACCAAATAACAGAGGCCAAGGACCATGCGTATTTCGAGGAGGGAAGGTGAGCACCCTCTGCTGGCAGTGTTTGGAGTTGACTGACTGAGGATCTGTGCGCAGCCTGGAAGGAGTGCTGGCTGAAGTCAGCAGGCCTCGGGAATCCTTAACATGCAAACAATCTTGGGGAAACCAGAAGGTCTTTCCTGGCAGTTTTTGTAATACCTCTCATTGCAGGCTGTTGGATTTATGTTGTTCACTCTGGGTGTGATCTTTCTTATGTATCTGATAGTTTTTATGGATAATTGTTTGGGTTGTAAACTCCCATACTCTTTATTAAAATGAACCTAATTAAGTGACTAAGTGGTGTGTTTTTCCTTTAGTGGGCTCCTCTATGGATGGCAGTATCCTAGGCACCTTTCACCAGCACAGAGCCTGGGGTAGGTTCTAATATTCCTGAACAGAAGCCAGTGTTAACACACAGAAACCTAACGGAAATGAACCTAGGATATCCCCTCCAAGGTCCCTGTCACAAGGGAGAGCCTGCCTGCCTATTTCCAACTGTGAAGAAAACAACCAGGATGGTATTTGACTGAACTTAACTGAGCTTGACTTAACAGGATTCAAGAACTGGCGACATGCTGTGTCCAGAACCAGTGTTCACAACCCAGGGCCCCAGAGTCCTGCTGTAATGCACGAGTGAAACCAAAGTTGCCCACATTTCCTGAGAACTTATCTAAGTACAAACCTCTAACTGCTTCTATGATTTCTTTTTTAGTTTCTGGAGACAGGGTCTCACTATGTAGACCAGGCTAGCCCCAGACTCTCAGAGATCTGCCTCCTCCTCCCTGAGTGCAGTGATTAAAGCCATGTGCCACCACATCTGGCTAGTTTTATGATCTAAGGTTCTTAAGTGTTGCCAGGTGGTGGCAGCACACACCTGTAACCCCAGCTCTTAGGAGGCAGAGGCAGGTAGGTGGATCTCTGTGTGTCAAGGCCAACCTAGTCAAAGAGCAAGTTGGGGCAGCTAGGGCTACACAGAGAGAAACCTTGTCATGAAAAATCCAACAAACAAAATACCTCAATTGTTTGGTGTTTTAAGGTTGCAGTAGCTGCCAAAGCTGCTTTCTTACCTGAGACTGCAGTGAAGTAGGATTAAAACAACAACAAAAAAAATTTTTTTGAGACAGGATCTCACCGTGATTGGCCTCAAATTCATGGGTGATCCTCCCGAATCAACCTTCTTTGTGCTAGGATTAGGAATGTGTGGCACCACAACATTTGTAAAATTTTTAATGAACCAAAAGTTGACTAATAAGTCTCCATTGCATCTAGGAAAGAATATGTCTCAAAGAAAACGATGGTGATAGCCAAACATGCATCCTATGGGCAAATGATTAAGATTCAAATTGGCTTAACGGAGTTGCTTCCTAGTTTACCCGCATATTAGCATCCTAATCCTTAAAAGCTGAGGATGTGGGAGCTAAATGGAAGTGGGGAAACTGGGAGTGTGTGTGGGGGGCGGGGACTGTAATCAGGATATATTATGTAAGAAGAAAAAAATTTCTATTTTCAGTAAAAGAAGGAAATAAAAAGATGGCCTGTTCTCTGCCCCTCCCCCCCAGCCCCGTCCTTCCTTGATTCACCCGCAGCACCGCCCTCCATCTGTAGGGGGCGCACTCACCGTGACCTCCCACTTCCCAAGGCCTGAGCCTGCATAGGATTTGGAGACTAAGGAGGCGTGTGCGCGCAGGCGCACGGGCACTGAAAACATGGCGGCGGCCGAGCGGGCGTGGGGGGCTGCAGCTGGTGTAGCTCGGCTGTGCAGGCGGTAGGTGTAGGCGCCGGGGCCAGCAGTTCCCTGTCGCCGTCCTCTCACAGGGAGGGGACCGGTGTCTGACAAAGTCTTCTCCTGACTCCAGAGCCCGAGGCCCGGCCACCCTCCACCGACGTCCGGTCCCCTTGTAAAGCCCGTGGGGATGTGGCACCGAAGGGAAGAACGTCCCGGGGTCGTCCCCTTCCCTTTCCCAGGAGGCACATGCAAGGTCACGGTGGCTCGGAGGGAAGCGACTCGAGCGAACCCACCGCCCAGGCCTATGCAGGCCATGTCCTGGTCCTCTTCAGAGCCACCCTGATTCTGACTTCCTCAGATACCTGTCAGACCCAAGTGTGACTCCTCTAGAAAAGGACCTAAAAATGCATTTCATGAGCTGGGCATGTGGGCCCACCCCCGTTATCCCAGCACTTGAAAGGTCAAAGCCAGCCTGGATTATAGGAGACCCCTGTTTTAAAACTCCTAAATGCATCTCATAAAAGTAGCAGATTAGCAGAAGCATTTTGTGGTTGCTCCCCCTCCCCCTGTTCTCGATGACGTCTCTTGAATTACTTTGCTCTAGGTTTTTTAGAATTCAAACCTTCCTGCCAGAGTGCACTTCTGAGTTACCCACTCTGCTGCTTTTCTCAGGGTTCTGGAATGCCAACCAGGCAGCCAGGCTTACACAGTGAGACCCTGTCTCAAAATTTAAAAAAAAAGCAACTGAAGTGAGAGCTGGAACACTTTTCACTGCTAAAATGCCCTTTTATTCCTTTTCTAGCAGTTGTTATTTTCAAAGCTTTCTTTGTTTTTACTCAATGACGCCTTGAAAGTACCCAGTCAATGCTCCCTTAACAGAGAGAAACGAAGTCCCACCACTGGGTTAATGTTTCCCATTAAGCATATAGGTTGTTGGCTGCCCTTGCAGTGTCGAGGCAGTAGTTTGTTTTCTATCAGACTTTAGACTTTGAAATGTTGGAATAAAAGTGACTATCCTTAATCTTAAGTATTTCCTCCAGCAGAGTCCCTAACTTTAGATTTGGGACATTTGTGTTTAATACGATATCATGGGATAGAAACCTTACATGATGAGGTCAGGTATGGGATGAGTCAAAGCTTAGACTACTTCAGAGTTTCTCTCAGGGGTGCTCATTCTCTACTTTCTTTCATTTTTCTTTTCTTTCTTCCCAAAGCTGGGACCCTCAAACCAGGGCCTTTGCAAATGCTAGGCAAGCCCTGTACTGCCGAGCTGCATTCCCACCCAGCCATTGCTTCTTAACTGGCGGCCCAGTTCTCTCCTGGTGACAGTGAATGAGACAGAAACAGGGAAGCTTTTCGTTGTACACATGGTCCCCCTTACCTGTTTTTAGTCACAAGACTTTTAGTCACGAGACAGTGGACAATGATGAGCTATCATGCAGATGCTGGACACCAAAAACAGACCATCTGCAAGAGCACCAAGTGCATTTAACTGCAGAGCCATCTCTCCAGGCCTCTGGTTTTTTGTTTTTTAATTTTATATTATTTGCTGAAGTAGAAATAATGTTGCAGATAGAAAATGGAAAGTTAACTCTATTTTTATTGCTGCTTTTGTTTAAATCTTAGCTGTCTTATATATACAAGAGAAGTGTAGATGGACTTTAAAAGGTCAGGTTTCTTGCTGGGTGTAGCACTCATGTCTATGATTCCAGAAGTAGTGAAGCAGAGGTAAGAATATCACAGATGTTCATGAAGCCATCTAGCTACACAGTGATACCCTGTTTCAAAACAAAACAGATTGGATTCCTTACCTAGTCATTGTTTGTTTTACATGTAGGTTCTGTCATGTGACTCCGTACACCTTTAAGAAACAACCTCTGCACCAATATGTGCGAAGACCACCTTTCCTGATGTGTGCACCCTTGTTTAACCCAGGTACAGTTTAACCTCAGATAACACTGTGTTGCAGAAACCATCTGATGGAATAGTGCCGGAGCTAATGGTCATAAAAGACAAATGTTAAAGGTTTCTTTAAAATTTTTTTGTTACATTCATTTGTACATGTGAGAGTGTGCCACATGGCATATGTGGAGGACAGAGGTGCTTGAGCTGGATCTCTCCTTCGACCATGTGGGTTCTGGGGATTGAGCTCAGGTCTTTAGCCTTGGTAGCAAGCAAGCACCTTTACCTGAGCCATCTCACCAGCTCAAGAGTCAGTCAGTCTTCTATTCAGAGGCTTATTAAAAGGATCCAGTGATTAGTTAATTAGTTGGAGGACGTTATCTGTAGACTTGTGAAATCTCTAAGTCTTGTAAATACACTTTTTAGAACATGGGTTGCTCAGTAAATGATTTTATTTATTTATTTATTTATTTATTTATTTTTTGGTTTTTCGAGGCAGGATTTCTCTGTGGCTTTGGAGACTGTCCTGGAACTAGCTCTTGTAGACCAGGCTGGTCTCGAACTCACAGAGACCCTCCTGCCTCTGCCTCCCGAGTGCTGGGTCAGTAAATGATTTCTAAAATGAAATGTTATTTAAAAAAAAAAAAAAAAGAAGAAGTTACAAGTGAATTCGTGTTTGAAAGAATCATGTGGCCAGGCTGTGGTGGCACATGCCTTTAATCCCAGCACTTGGGAGGCAGAGGCAGGTGGATCTCTGTGAGTTCGAGGCCAGCCTGGTTTACAGAGTGAGTTCCATCACAGAGAAACCCTGTCTCAAAGAACCAAAAAACAAAACAAAAACCAAAAAAAAAACAACTCCAAAAGATTGTGTGTTTTTAAGCTATTACTTTCTTTTTCTATTTCTATAGGGATATCTGTACATCTGTAAATTCCTGTCTTTTATCCAAACCTAGCATCTGATTTTGAATGTAACTTGAAATGTGAGCACTGCAGTGTAATTGGGGAAGCTTGGAGAGAGGTGGGTGTGTGTGGCTTGGTGTGGTCAAGGATTAGCCTCTCTCTCTCTTCATGCTACCTTGCACACCTGTGGCCATGTTCTGTGATGAGGCTAAGGGTGGCTGAGAGCATGACTTGAGTCAGGAAGAGCTCTTACCTCTTTTGTTGACTGGAGATGAGTTATGGTTGTCTATGGCCTGCATGTTTCCTTGGATCTCAAAATGCCTTAGATGCAAATACTGAGTAACTCAGCAGGTCAGGTTACTTTAATTGGTTAAATTTTGTGGGCTGCACTTTGTGGTTTTTCTTGTCTTTTCCAGTTGGACACCAGTGAGTTCAGTCTTTGACAGTTCCTGTCTATGTTGTGCAGGAGCTGGTGTCTGCCTGTTTAGGGATCTGTGTAACACCACTCTCCAAAGGGAAAGAAGTGTCTCACATGAGTTTTTATCTTGTCCTAACTCAGGGCACTTTCAGAAGTTCCCATTGGATGTCAGAGCTAGGAGTAGACTTATTTATTACTTACTTTTGAGATTGTATTTTAATTACAGTGTTTCCCCCTTCCCTATAAACCCTCCATATACCTCTTTCCACTCTTCTTCAAATTCATGGTCTCTTTTTTATCAGTTGTTATTACAAGAATATATCTATTTGTATATACATGTATATTCTTAAATATAACCTGTTAAGTCCATATAATGTTATTTGTATATATGTGGAGTTGTTCTTAAAATATCTAATTAAGCCAAATTTAAAATACAATTGGAATGGTTTTTGTTGAATATCTATTCAGATTAATATTGAAGTAGCTTACTTATGTTAAAAGAGAAAAGTTGTATGTGGATATTCTATTTTTCTTAATCTTTAGTCCCCTGGTATATATAGATTTATGGGTTGTTCAGTTTAGTTTGGTTTTTTAGAGGATCTTGTTAAGATTCCAAGACTAGCCTGGAATTTGCTGTGTAGCTGAGACTAGCATGAACTCAGGGTCCTCTTGCTCAGCCTCCCAAGCTGGGGCTGCAGGCACTGGGCAACTACATTTATCTGAGTCTGCCTTTCAAATAAAGTTTTGTTTGGTCTCTGTTTTTGCATGTATAGTTTCATCCTTGGGTATTTCTAAAACCTTCTTTTCTGTAGACCTGATTACTCCAGTGTATTGGGAGAAAGCCACATTTAATCCTTCAGATTCAGTAGAGTGCCTAATGAGTACAGAGACTTTAGTTACCAGTAAATTATTCAGACAACAAAAAGTGAAGCCAGACTTGGTAGCCCACACTTTTCATGCCAGCACTCTGTAGGCAGAGGCAGACAGATCTCTATGAGTTCAAGGACAGCATGATCCCCATAATATAGTGAGACTCTATCTCAAACAAACATCAAACAACCCTACAGAAGATGACTCGTTCAGAACAGAAAGAAGTGGCAGTCTTTCTTTAGAGTTTTATTCAGAAACTGTTCCCTGCAAAGCAGGTTTCTTGACTGGAGGCACAGGCCTTTTAATGACATGCTTGAGCATCGACATTCAGACATTTTAACTTCTTAGTATTTCTCTGAGCAGCTTTGGAAATAAAGCTTGTGGGCTCCCCACCCCCTAATTTTTCTTCTGTTTATCTAAAAATGAACACTTTGGGGGGCTAAAGAAGTTTCTCAGTGGTTAGAGCACTTGCTACTGTTGGAAAGGGCGAGGTTTGGTTCCCAGCATCCATACGGTAACTTACAGCCGTCCATGACTCCGTTCTAGAGGTCCGATGGCCGCCTCTGGGCTGCACAGCACCACAGACACATGCTACATACACATACATGCAAGCAAAACATTTACACATATAAAATAAAAAAAATAAATCTTAAAAAAAGCACTTCGTTGTCCATAACTTAAACAGTTTTTTCTAGCATAACACTCTTTTTCTTTTTTAGTGCGATTCATGTTTATTCAAACACAAGACACCCCAAATCCCAACAGCTTAAAGTTTATACCAGGAAAGCCAGTTCTTGAGACGAGGACCATGGACTTCCCCACGCCAGCCGCAGCTTTCCGCTCCCCTCTGGCCAGGTACTGTTTGTGCTGGCTAAAAGCACAGTGGCCCTCTGTGGTTTAGACAGCCTCACAGCTGGGACATTTGTTTGCAGATTGTATTTAGAAGAGTTGAGTTGAAATTACAAAAGCTTTCTCCTGGGAGTGTATTTGATAGATGGATAGCATGAATACTTAAATTTTAATTAATTTTTACTTAAAGAAATTCACCAAATGGGTAATTATGATAAATTTTTGATCCAGACCTTTAGAACTCTAAATGCTAAAAATTTGTGTGTGGCCAGGTGGTGGTGGTAGTGAATGCTTTTAATCCCGGCACTCCGGAGGCAGAGGCAGGTGGATTTCAGTGAGTTCGAGGCCAGCCTGGTATAGAGAGTGAGTTCCAGGACAGGCTCCAAAGCTACAGAGAAACCCTGTCTCAAAAAAACAAAAATAAAGTATGTTATTGTGTGTATGTGGGTGTGTGTGGGGTGTTAGTTTGTGTGGATGTGTGAATGTGCGTGCACACAAAGTCCAGAGATTGCCCTTGGATGTCTTCTGTCACTCTCCATCTTAGTTTTTTAGACAGGTTCCTTCTGGGAACCTGCTGCTCACTTACTCAGCTAGCCTGGCTGACCAGAAAGTCTGCCTCTCAAGCACTGGGGTTAAAGATGCATACTACCATGCCCAACTGTTTACATGTCTGCTAGGGATCTGAACTCGGATCTTCTTGGGCATGTGCTGTGTACTTCATCCACTGAACTGTTTTCTCCAGCACTTTTCAAATGTTTTGAGATGGGAGATGGCCGTCTCTTATAGCCTAGGCTGGTCACAAGCTCACCATGTAACTAAAGTTGGCCTTGAATTCCTGGTGCCTCCAGTTCCTAGGTGTTGGGATTACAGATGGCTGCCACTGTGCCCAGCTGAAAACTCTGATTTTCAAAGGCTATGAGAAGGTGCTCCTTTAATTTCATAAGAAAGAGTAACTAAGTTTCTAGGTTTTCATTCAGATGAAATGAATGAAATGATGGCCTTGTCAGATGTGGCATGACCTTTCACGAGAAACATGTTAAGTGTGTGTCAGAGTAATAAATGAAGTACACCAAGCCTCTTCTGAACCTAGGGCTAGAGCAGTCATTTACACTGAGAAATGCTAGAGTCAATAATAAATAGCTGTAATTCCTGCTTGCTTGCTTTTTCTCCTCACCACCGTCTGTCCTTCTTTCCTTCCTCCCTTCCTTCCAACCCCCTCCCTCTCTCCCTCCCTTCCTCCCTCCCTTCCTCCCTCCTTTCTCTCCCTCCTTCCCTCCCTCCCTCCTTCCCTCCCTCTCCTCCCTCCCTTCCTTCCCCCTCCCTCTCTCCTTCCCTTCCTCCCTCCCTCCTTCCCTCCCTCTCCTCCCTCCCTCCCTCCTTCCTTCCTTCCTTCCTTTCTTCCTCTTTGTTGTGTGCCAGAAAGTGATTGACTCCTGGGCCTTTTACATGCTAAATATGTGTTCTGCCACTTAGTTGCACCTTAACACAAAATTAAATATCTACCCTCATACTGCTTGCCAAGCACATTTAGAAACCAGCATAGATAATTTTCTGTGCATGGCCTGTATTCTGTGTACCTCATTGAGGGCAGGCAAAAGTGAAGCCCAGAAATAATTTTTCAAATTTCTAGTTGATAAAGTATACCATTTTTCTAACTTAAGCATGCTATTACTCAGAATGCACAAGAACATTTATTTTTCATGCTTTTGATACAAATAACAGTTAGAAATGTGTATATTATAATTATGCACATACCTGTGTGTACGCGTAGAACAAGGTATTTCCATCCTTTGCACTTGTACAATAGGTAAAAGGTGAGGTGGTTAACAGCACTTGCTACTCTTGCAGAGGATTCAGGTTCAGGTTTCCAGCACTTAGGCAGCTCACAGCTTCCTGTACCTCCAGCTCTGAGGGGATCCAATGCCCTCTTCTTGCCTCTTCTGATTCTGCACTCATGTGCATACACATAGACACACATGGGGCCACATAAAATAAAATAAAGAATTCTTTAAAAAGTAATAGTAGGTAATAGGCATTCTCATATTTTTCATTTCTTTGTTTTGTTTTTTGTTTTGGTTTTTCGAGACAGGGTTTCTCTGTGGCTTTGGAGGCTATCCTGGAACTAGTTCTTTAGACCAGGCTGGTCTCAAACTCAGAGAGATCCTCCTGCCTCTGCCTCCCAAGTGCTGGGATTAAAGATATGGCCACCACCACCCGGCCATTTATTTTTGTTATTTAGTTTTATTTTGTTAAATATAATGAAGTCCTCATCACTATTTGATTTCAGAGCTCCATACTTTGTTTTTATTTTTAAAAAGAACATAACTTCAGGAAACACACAGGCACACAAGGTTTGCCTAGGGGTGTTTTTTTGTCTAGTATTATTAGTCTAGTTGTACACACATTCATGCAAGCAAGCAAAACACTCACACATAAATAAGTCTAAAAACTAACATTTGCAAAAAGACATACATCTTCTCTGTCTCTCTGTGTGTTTTACAATACTGGAGATTGAATCTAGGGCCTTGGGCATGCCAAGCAGGAGGAGCTTACCACAGGTCTACAGTCCTAGGCCAGGACCTAACATATGTTAAGTGAAGAAACCCTCCTCCTAAACAAAAACAGTACCTGACTCCATGAATGTTCCTGGAGAAACACACACCAGAAAGACAACCTAGGATTTTGATTTCTTGATTAAGTTGATTTTAACTTTTTAGTGTTTTTGCTCTTTTGAGATGGGTTCTCAGCAGCTCAGGCTGGCCTTGCACTACTGATCCTTTGCTATGCTATGATGTTGTTTTTATTTTTTAATTGTAGCTGCCTTTTAAGCTATGGCTATCCTATTTAGCAACTGCCTCTCTGCTGCCACCTAGAGTGAGGCAGGTGGCTGTAGGGTGAGAAGGAACCAGGCCATCTTAAGTCAGTAGCATTCTAGCCAGGGACAGTCTGTGGAGGCTTTGTAACGTTGCTCTTCACTTCTGCATATGTTTATCATCTTTCATAACATTTTTTCCTTTTCTGTGTTCACAGGCAGTTATTCAGGATTGAAGGAGTAAAAAGTGTCTTCTTTGGGCCAGATTTCATCACAGTCACAAAGGTACCGTTTTGAGTATAAAGCTAGACTAGCTGGCTTTCAGCTTTTTCTGGGTCCAGTGCCCCTCTCCAGTAGTTTCATTGTTTTTTTGGCTTTCAATCTTCTCTTCTTTGGTTTTCCATAGATAGTCTTGCTGTGTAGTCCAGGCTGGCCTGAAACCTGTGGCCTTCCATCCTTTGTCCCCCTGTTTCTGGCATTATAAACATATGCCACCCTAGAATTTTTATTCTTAATATACTATGGTTTTTAATATTTAATATTAAAATCTCAGGTGAGGGGCTGGAAAAGTAGCTCCGCAGTTAAGGGCACTGGCTACCCTTGAAGAGAACCAGGTTAGATTCTTGGCACTCACATGGCTGCTCATAGCCCTCTATAGCTCCAGTTTCAGAGACCTAGTACTCTCTTCCAACCTCAGTGGGCACCAGCCACACACATGGTACATAGACACACATACAGGCAAAACATTCATGCACAAAAAGTAAGTAAATACATAAAAAGAATCTCAGGTGATATTTACATCATAGATTTGTCAAGTTAATGAAGGGCATTTTCTAGCTGTAGTTAATTATGACTGAGGTGTAACTATAATCCAGTAGCCTCATCCATTCAGATAAAATCCTTGACCCTCAGTGGACTCAGTGCAGTGTCCAGGTTTATAGGGCTAGCTCCCAGCAGGACAAAACCTTGGTAGGACTAGAATTTCAGCTTCCAGGTCACTAGAATACAATTTGTTTTATTTTTTATAAAATTTAAGTGAATTAAACTTTTTTTTATTATGTGTCTTATTTTGGGTGTGTGTGCTTGTGTTCAGTCGTGTACATGGAGACCAGAGGACAGTGTACAGGAAGCAGTTATCTCCTTCTACCATGTGGGTCCCTGGGATTGAACACAGGCTGCCAGACTTGGGGACAAGTACTTTTACCCACTGAGCCATCTTGCCTGCCTGCCCCTCACTAGTGTTTTTACTAATTCCTCCTGTGAGTGGATGGAGTAAAGTCAAGCGCATATTATGAACAAATGGCATATGCCATATATCTGTCAGATGCCAGAGTGCACACGCGCCCTGTCTGAAGCGGGTGTGCTTGCTCGTTCTTTTGACACATGTGCATGCAAGACTAATTTCAGATACGTGTGTATATTTGCATAGTTGACTGTCCTGCAGCAATACTGTGAGCTGGGCCATGTGGCACAAGCCTTTAATCCCAGTGCTCAGGAGGCAGAGGCTGGGGGATCTCTGTGACTCCAGTGTCAGTCTGGTCTACAGAGTGAGTTCTGGGCCAGTTAGAGATCCATGGTCAGACCCTGTCTCACTAGAATAAAGAAAAGATTCTTGAAGATCTGGATTTGTTTTGCACTTGGCTGGAAATGCAACATGTTTCTTCAACATGATTATAGGAAAATGAAGAATTAGACTGGAATTTACTGAAACCAGATATTTATGCAACAATTATGGACTTCTTTGCGTCTGGCTTACCTCTAGTGACTGAGGAAACACCCCCAGGAGAAGCAGGTAGTGTTGTGCTTGCCTTTTTTTTTTTTTTTTTTTTTTTTTTTTTTTTTTTCTTTTTTTTTTTTTTTTTTTTTTTTTTGGATTTCCTACTTCATTCACATTTGCCTTGATTTCAGAAGTGACCAGAATACAGATTTTAAATATTTTTATTAGAATATATTAATTATACATAATTATGGGTTTCATTATGGCATTTTATGTGTGTAATGTGTTTAGATCATAATCACCTTCTATTACTCTTTCCTTGTCTTCCTCTTTTGATGATTCTCTTCCTCTTGCCTTCTAGCCCCACTTCTGCTCTCATGCCCCTTGTGTGAGTGACTCATCGAGGCCTGGTAGGGTCGCTTACAGGAGCACAGGTCATGTTACCTGCTGGAGCATGGGTACCTTCCCACGTTCCTTCTTCCCAGCAACCATTAACTTCATGTAGGTCTTCAGGGAGGGTGGAGCCTCATGGGACCCACTTCCTTCCATGATCTGAGATAAAAATAACAGTTTTAAAAATTATTTTTTATTTGACAAGTATGAGTGTTTTGCCTGTGTACTACCATGTGTGTGCCTGTGCCAGAGGAGGCCAGAAGAGGACAGCAGATCTCCCAGAACTAGAGTTAGAGACAGTTGTGAGCCACCATGTGGGTGCTAGGAACCAAACCTAGGTCCCCTGGAAGAGCAGCCAGGTAGCATTCTATAGCTCTCCACCGAATCCTCCAGCTCTTAGGTTCCTTCTGCTCCTCCCCCAACACTCCATGATGCTCTCTGAATCTTGTTGGTAAAGATGTCCCATTTAGGACTGAGCATTCAACAGCCACTTAGGCTCGGCATTGACAAGTTTACCTACTGCATGAAGAAGCTTCCCTGACAACTGAAACTAACCTGTGGGAAGAAACAGGATTGTTTAAAAGGAAATAGGTGAGCATGTCATGCCCTTTAGTAAAACAGCTGTAGCCTCCCCACAGGTACCTCTGGCCTCCCGGTCACGGGTTTTTGACTAGGTTACAGCAGCAGGTCTGACTTCCTCCTGTAGAGTTGGCCTCCTTTCCAAACAGAGCAGTTGGTTAGCCTATATCAGGCTTGCCACGTTTCACCAGTGGACACATGTGGCCTGGTTAGGCAGTAGTGTAGCACGTGGGGCCCATAGCCAAGTAAGATGGTTGACACAATTGTCTCCCAGCAGCCTGTGTAGCACCTTGTGGCACTGTGAACTAGCCAGCAGGAAGGGGACTTCAGCAGGGGGATCTTACCATCCATCTGATGAACAGCCAAGAGCATGGGAATATTTTTAATCACTGATTGTATTTGGCTCAGGAACCCATTCTAAATGGGACAAAGCTTTGTATATACTGTTCTCTCAAATTATTTTTGGTTTTTCAAGACAGGGTTTTTCTGTGTAGCCCTGGATGTCCTGGAACTCACTGTGTGGACCAGGCTGGCCTTGAACTCACAGAGCTTTACCTGCCTCTGCCTCCCAAGTACTTGGAATAAAAGTATGCATCACCACTGCCCAGCTGTTTTCTCAGTTTTTAATATTTGTGTGAACACTGAATGTATTATGCAAAATAAAATTTTTAACTATGAAAAATGTTGAGAATTCAGAAAAATCATGTGTTAGGCATGTACTTGCTTCCACTTAGATTTAACAGAGGTTAGCATTTTCTGGAAAAGGTTGCCAAGAAACAAGTAAATGTTTATTTTCCCATAGTTGCTCTGGATCCATTTTTAAATGAAGTATTAAGGACACAAACCAGTGTGTGGTGGTACACACTTATGATCCCAGCACATGGGAGGCAGAGACAGAAGTATTGCTCTAAGTTCATGGTCAGCCTGTTTTATGTGGCAAGTTCCAAGACAGCCAAGGCTTTCCATTGAAAGCCTGTTTCAGAAAAAACGAGGTGGAGGAGAGAAAGAGAGCGAAAGAAGAGGTAATGTTTTGTATCCTCCTTTGCTGCTGTGTGTGAGCTTGGTTGGTTTGCATTTTACTGTGCCTGTAGGATAAGCTGAAATGAATAGGTAGAATTGGTTTCTGTAAGGCGGATTTTTCCTCATTGGTGTCTGGTCCCCTTGCTCTGAAAATACACAAACTTTCAAAGGTAACATGCATATCTGTATTAACACGAGTATAGACTGTGCATTGTACACAAGCCAGCCAAAGATGATTTTTTGTTTTATTTTTGAGCAGGTAAAATATCTATCAACTGCCTTGTAGTTTATGTTTATTTCTTTGTGTCTGTAGCCAGGATTTTCAAGAGCTCTACCCTGATCAAATTTGATCTCTATCAACATTGAATGAATCCACAGCCTTTCATTTTCTGTGGAAACAAAGGCATAACCTCTTCCCCAGTGAAACTTATTTTTTGACTTGCATTTTGAAGTTAAGACATTTTTAAAATATGTAGGTTGGTTTAATTTAATAGTTTTTCTAATCCAGTATCTCTCGGCAGCTATTGTTTGCTCATCAGCAATAAAAAATTTAAAGACAACATAATAACATACAGGATCCAGATTGTATCTATTTCCCATTTCTATGTAGCTTGTTCATTTTTATTGCTTTACTTTCTTTAAATACTTTATTATTTTTAACTATTCATGTATTTGCTTGTTTGTTTGTTGTTATGGCTGTCTATACCCTTTTACTTTCTTAAGCCTACTGACATTGTAAAACAAACTGTAACCTGTATAGAGGGTTTTTTTTTCCTGTCTGTACCTGCTTTGCTGCATATCTGTAACTTTTCCTGTTTGCAGGAGCAGAATCTTAAACCTCCACACAGCTTAGCTCATGGTGATCTGGTGGCTGAAGCCCACAGGCTGTGGCCAGGAGACATGTCTCTGTACCACAGCCTATATGAACTGAAGGACTAGGAAGCCACATTTGGCTTCATTTTTGTGTGTTTGGAACCTTTTTTTTTTTTTTTTTTTTTTTTTTTTTAAAGGTTTCTCAGGTTTTATGTGTAAATACATGCCACCATATATAGGTGGATTTTTCTTAACTGGCATCCAGCTCCCAAATCAGAACATGGGGACTTACTGTTAATTATGAAAGCTTGGCTGATAGCTTAGGCTTATTTCTAACTAGCTCTTATAACTTAAACTACCTATTTCTATTAATTTACTTTCTGTTTCATGGCTTTGTTACCTTTACTCTGCCCATGCTCCACCTTCTTCTCAACATTCTCTCTACCCCCAAAATACTGCCTAGCTATTGGCCATTTAGCTTTTTATTAAACCAATCATAGTGACCTATCTTCACACAGTGTAAAGGAATATTCTACAACAGGTTTCCATTCTTTTTCTTGTTTTAGTGGTTTTGAGACAGGATCTTGTCCTGTAGCCCAGGTTGGCCTGAAGTTTACAATCCTGCCTCCTCTTTTGGGGGCGGGGGGGGGGGGTTTCTAGACAGGGTTTCTCTGTGTAGCTTTGGAGCCTTTCCTGGCACTCGATTTGTAGACCAGGCTGGCCTCGAACTCACAGATATCCACCTGCCTCTGCCACCCGAGTGCTGGGACTAAAGGCATGCACCACACTGCCCGGCTAGTTTCTGGTTTTTATTCTTAAACTTCAAGTAACTTGTGTTCTATCACAGCTTGCTTTTAAAGATGTAAGTTACTCATTGTAAGCCTGGTGTTAGTCAGTCCTTTTTGGAATGACTAAAGTAGAGTTAATTTGTCCCTTTACTGTGTCACTGCCTGTGCTGAGGTGCTGCACATGCTGCTGTGGACATCTGGTGCAGGCTTCTGTGCATTGTTCTTTACTGTGTCAGCTTTTGTGCTGCTGATGTCCGTTATAAATACTGCTGCTGTGGACATACTGTGTGTGTGGTGGGGGTGGGGTGTAGACTTTTCCTACAGGGAAACAGCAGCTAATTACTGTGCTCATTAGCAGTATGTAACAGTTTCTGTTTTCTTATGCTTTTGTCATCACTTCATGTCCTTTTTCTTTTTTCCTTTGAAGCCGAGAGACTCTTAGAAAGCTTGACCTTTGTTCCACCCCTGAGCCAACTTCCCAGTCCTTTTGCTCCCCTCACCCCCAAGACAGAGTCTCTCTGTGTAGCCCTAGCTGTGAGCTGAAACTCACTGTGTAGACCAGGATGGCCTTGAACTGGGGGCTGGCTTACAGTTCAGAGCATGGTGGCATGCAGGCAAACATGGTACAGGAGAGGTAACTTAGAGTTCTACATGGGGATCAGCAGGCAGCAGGAAGAGAGATACCAGACCTGGCTTGGGCATTTGAAAACTCAGTGCCCACCCCCAGTGACACACTTCTTCCAAGAAGGCCACACCTCCTAATAGTGCCACTCTATGAGTCTCTGGGGGCCATTTTCATTTAAACTACCATATAGTATGCTAGGTCTAATATGGTATCTTCTCTTATTTACTATTTGTTTTTGCAGTTCAGGGATTGAACTCAGGGCTGTGCACATGCAAGACCAGTGCTCTGCCATTGAGCCCTCTTTTTACTTTTGAGGCTGTGTCTTACTAGGCTGCCCAGGCCAACAACTATATATATATAGTTCACTCTGTAGTCCAGGCAGGTCTAACTTACTGTCATCCTGCCTTTGCCTCCTTGGAAGGTGAAATCACAGATCTGTGTCACCAGACTGGCAACATCTTGTTTTAGTTTCTTTCTTGTGGTTTGTTGTTGTTGTTGTTGTTTTTTTTTTTTTTTTTTTTTGTATCTTGTATCATTTTATAAAGTTTCCATGTCAGTAAGTTTCCTATTCGTTTTCTTTGTTAATTTTTAAAAAGTGAGTTGTATGCCTTTTTTAATATACTGATTTAAGTAGGTTTTTAAAAAAATATTCTAGGTGGGGTGGGGAGAGAGCTTAGTCAGGGATCTGACTGAGTTCAGTCCCCAGACCCTACATCATAAAGTTGGGCGCTGTAGCTTATGTACTTGTAATGTCAGCACTGGGGAGGTGGAAACAGGCAGATCCCTGGGGGCTATCTAGCCAGCCACCTTAGCCTACTTGGCTCACATGGACATGCGCCCCCTCACCACACATGTACCTGCAGAAACAGTGCGCACGCGAGCGTGTGTGTGTGTGTGTGTGTGTGTGTGTGTGTGTGGGTGTGTGTGTGTGTGTGTTCTGGGCTATGAAATAGTTATTACGAATTCTCCCTAATCTTGGCTAGAGGCCAGAGGTAGCTCAGTGGTGGAGTACATCCTTAGCCTGTGCACATACAGGGTTGTTCCTCAGTGCTTCGTGTATACACACACACACACACACACACACACTCACATACATACACACACACACACTACAAAGTGAAAAACAAAAGTCATATTTAAGGCTGGGTAGTGGTGGCGCACACCTTTAATCCCAGCGTTTGGGAGGCAGAAGCAGACGGAGTTTGAGGCCAGCCTGATCTACAAAGTGAGTTCCGGGATAGCCAGGACTGCTACTCTGTCTCAAAACAAACAAACAAACAAACAAAATAAAGAACAATTTAACTATGCCTACCAAAAATAAAAATACTGCAAAATTTGGCTTGGGGTTTAGCTCAGAGGTAGAGTGAGCACAAAATCCTGTGTTCAGTCCCCAGTGCCTCAGAAAGAAAGAAACCACAGGCTCACTGGCTCAGATACCCTATCAGAAGGAATTTATCCCATGAGTGTGTCTTAAGTATGCTAACATATGTTCCTAGAAGCTCAGGGTTAGAGACTGAAATGGTCAAAAAGCCGGTGAGGCAAAGCTCTACCAGAATCACTTTATAATGAGCCTTTTTTCATGTGCTGATGGAGACTGTGAAGGGCTCTAGGAGTGGTTGCACCTGTGTAAATGAACTCATGGAAATGTAGACATTCTCAGAGGAAACCCTGTCCTCAGGAGTAATACAGAGGGAGGCAGCTTAGGACTGCTGCTCTAAGAGACTATAACTCAAAGGTTAGTATAGTTTAATATAAATTATTTGTGGGGTTGCCAGGGTTCTAATATGTATTGCAGTACAGCATAATTCCCTGTATTTTCTCACAGATAAATACATTTCTTGAAAAAATTTACATTTTTTATTCAGGCATTGTTAAAACTTACATATAGCTTTACAAATTCAAGTAATAGTCAAGGGTATAGCTCAGTGGTAGAGTACGTGCTCCATGTGCAAGGCCAACATAGATTCCTCCCGGCATCATACACACATATGCACACACACACGCACACGCAGATACACACACAGACCTGCATATGCAAGCACACATTCAGACATGTACATATGTGTACATGTACATATGTACCCAGACGTGCACACACATGATAAAGCAAAGCCAAAATGAAACAGCATTCTTGGCTCAGCTTTGTAAAGTATTCAGAACTTTGCAGAAGGCCTACATCTGTATTTGATATAGTTATCTTGAAAAGTCACTAATTTGAGAAGCTGAAGATGAAAAAGATAGATACTTCATAAGTAGCTGGGCTTTTCCATCTCACACTTACAGTGAAATCAGGTGGCGTATTTCTGTCTGCTCTTTGGTCTCTGAGAGTGTAAGTTTGCTCCTCACAGGCCCCTCCTTCATTTCAGCCCGCTACACCATCAGGCTTTGGTGTAGGATGTACTCCCCTGCATTACTGAATACTGGGTGACCATTTTTCCTCGTTTTTTTCTTGTGTGAACCACATGAGCCATATCACTTTACCAAATAATGTGTCCTATGCTTTTGTTTGTTTTTTCTTTTGTTGTGTTTTGGATTTTGAGTCACTTTATCGAGTTATGTGTTCCATGTTTTTTTTTTTTGTTGTTGTTGTTATGTTTTGGATTTTGAGATAAGGTCTTACTAAATCTCGCTAGCCTAGAGCTCACTAAGTAGACCAGGATGGCCTTGAATTTATCTTATCTTCTGTATGTGCTTAAGTGCACTATGCCTAGCTGTGCTTTTATGTGAAAACCCTCCTGTTTTAATGCCTGTATAACTATAAAATTGTTTCTTGATTCCTTTATTTATAATTTTTTCTAGGTTCTGAGGAAGATGATGAGGTGGTGGCAATGATTAAAGAACTGTTGGACACTAGGATACGGTGTGTGTTAACCCCTAACAACCCCCCTCTCCCCCTTGCAATGCGGTGCTGCAGAGACAGCCCTCATTAAAGTAGCACGCTTTCACAGGAGACTGGAGCAGGGCTCCAGATAAATAGTCCGTATAAACCAACACAGGCCATCACTGCAGTTGAACTTAAAGCCTGTGCCTCGCTAATCAGTCACATTGTTAAAACTTGATCTTTAGACCAGGCTGGCCTCAAACTCACAGAGATCTTCCTGCCTCTGCCTCTGTCTCTTGAGTGCTGGGATTAAAGGTGTGCGCCACCACTGCCTGGCCAGAATAGAAGATCTTATAGTGTATAGTGCTGACAAGATGGCTTGGTGGGTAAAGGTGCCTCCCGCTCAGCGTGGCAACCAAGTTGTATCCCAGAACCCACATGGTAGAAGGAGAGAGCCAACTTCTGCAAGCTATCCTCAGCTTCCACGTGCACGCTGTGGCACTTGTGCAAGCATGCACACATACACAAGACACATGTAAAACAAAATTAAGAGGCTTGAAGGGATGGCGCAGTAGTGAAAAGCACTTACTGCTCTTCTGATGAACCCAGGTTCAGTTCCCAGCATCCATATGCTGGCTTACAACCACCTGTAATACTAATTCTAGGAGATCTGATGCCCTCTTCTGTCCTCCAAGGGCTCCTGCATCTAGGTGGTGCACATACATAATATTCAGACATACACACTTACACATAAATACCTTTTGTCAAGTTTTTAAAAGACTTTGTAGTGTGTGTATGGCAGAGTATATAAGAACTACAAATTGACAAAGAAAAAATAAAGTAGAGGCTGGAGCAAGAACATGGCAGGAGACCGTAACCAGACAGCCACTAAATGTGGAAGAGTGAAGAGTGCACATCCTTCTTTCTCATTATGTGTATCCAAATCAGTCACCCGTAAGTGGTCACTCAAACCCAGCAGACGGATTCAGCCATTTTGATTGACACCGGTGGCTGGTGAGAACAGGAAGCAGTGGTGTGCTCTCCTGTTTGGGGGCATGTAAGGGTGGGAATTCTAGGAAAGCATTTGGCACTGTTTAAATCATCACACTTTTGTTGAGACAGGTTCTCACTCTGTCATTAAGGCTAGATTGGAACTGACTTTGTAGCTCAGTCTAGCCTTGGACAATTGGTGGTCCTCCCACTGCAGCCTTCCAGTTCTAGGGTTACAGACATGAGCCACCACCCCTGGCTTACATTCAAAATCCTGCTCCAGGAGTTTTGCCCTCAAGTATATACCCAGTCATAATACCTATCCACACCAAAAGACGCACAGATGGATCTTTAGAGCCACGTTATGTGTACAAGTCAAATACTTATCAACAACAGGATAGGTAGTCAGTGCTGACATATTAGTGTAGCCATGAGACAGATAGACTCTTATCATGCTCAACAAGAACGAGTCATACGGAGAGGAAAAGAAAGTAGATATATACGAGGGCTTTAAAATTAGAATTCATGGCCAGTGAGGATGCTCAGCAGGCAAAGTCACTTGCTTCAAGCCTGCTGCCCTGAATTCCATGCCCAGAGTTATATGGAGAAGGAGGTGACTCTGGATGGCTTCACTTGCCCACACATGCAACATGCACACACACAGAGATTAATACAAATTTAATCAAAGTTACAGGCTTGGGGAGATGGCCAAGATGGTAAAGTATTTGTCATGTAAACATGATAACCTGAGTTCAGTCCCCAGGACCCACATTAAGAAAGTTGGGCATGGGCTGTGTGTTTGTAATTCCAGTGCTTTTGGCAGAAATGATTTAGCCTAATAAATGGAGTCCTCTTCAGCAAGAGACCCTTCCCCCAAAACCCTTCCCCAAAAACCCTTCCCCAAAAACCAAGGTGGACAGTGCCTAAGGAACAGCACTCAAAGTTGGCTTCTGACACATATCAATGAGCCCTGATCCATGGACCACACACACACACACACACACACAATCCATGGACTACACACACACACACACACACACAATCCATGGACCACACACACACACACACACACACACACACACACACACACACCCAAACCCTGGCCTACACACACACACACACACACACAATCCATGGACTACACACACACACACACACACAAAACAATGAACTATCTTAATCTTTTTCATTGAAGGCATTCATCTGTTGTTTTAAATGTGTTCTGAATGTCCTGTGGCCACAGGCCTACTGTGCAGGAGGATGGTGGTGACGTGATCTACAGAGGCTTTGAAGATGGCATTGTGCGGCTGAAACTCCAGGGCTCCTGCACCAGCTGCCCCAGCTCCATCATCACCCTGAAAAGCGGGATTCAGAACATGTTGCAGTTTTATATTCCAGAAGTGGAAGGTGTAGAGCAGGTAGGCAACATTGCGGCAGTTTGGTTTTAATAGTAGAGGGGGGACCCAGTCTATAATCTACCTGTCTTTACTTGGGAAAGCCCCATAGGTGTTTCTGTTCTGGTTGCAGATGTTATAAAGGGATTCAAAACACCATGCAATTATATAGAAGAATATAAGAGTGGAGGAACTCACATAATTTACCAACCTCTTATTCCTCCCTTACTCCACTCCTCAACACCCTGTTTTCTTTTAAGATAGGTCTTGTGCTATCTGAAGTGACCTTGAACTCCCTGTGTAGCTGAGGATGGCCTTGAACTCCTGCTTCCCAAGTGCTGGGATTGCAGATTATGTGCCATTGTACCTGGCCCTTATTAAAACCTTTTATTATGTATGCATGTGCACATGTGGGATTGGTTCTGTCCTTCCACTTTGTATGGACTACAGAGATAGAATTCAGGTCATCAGCAAGTGTCTTTACCCCTAAGCCATCTTGCTAGTCCCAGTTTTTGTTTAGGGAGACAAATTACTCTCTAAAATCTAGACTGACCTGGAGCTTGCTATGTAGTTCAGGTTGGCCTGAAACTCATACCCCTCCTGCCTCAGCCTCCCAAGAGCTAGAATGACAGGCATGTGCCACAAGGAAGCATACTGTTGTACAGTGAAGTAGTACTCAATTGGGCTTCGACTGTAGCATGTTGGAATTTTTTGCCTCTAAATGTGTAAGATGTCACAGTGACTGACTACAGTGATGTTAGCTAAGAAGGAAGGCCTTACAGAAAGGCTATCAAGAAGGAGACAGTTATGGAGGTTAGAGATTTGAGAAACTCTGTGATTCTGTGACTTTAGGAGATGTCCTCTTCCAGTTGCTTAGAGACTCACTTATCTCTGAGTATTATTAAAGGCTGGCCTTTTGGTCCAGTGCAAGTTCTCATTAGTTCTCTGCTAGTGCAAAGCTTTCTGTGTATGTCAACACTGTGTGTAAGCATGGGCCGCCTGAAAGACTAGAAGCCCTGTCTGTACCTGTGTTTCTCTGCAGCAGTTCTGCTAAGTCACAAGTGTCATTTGCACATTGACAGTGAACAAGTTCTTGGAATTATTACACCAAATTTAGGAGTGATTCTGCCTAAATAGGACTTGATTTACTGAATCCTTTGCATCGGATATTGCTGAAATTGGATATAAAACATTTATTCTTTTAAAGTAAAATACCCATTTTTTAGTTTACCTCAAAGAGAAAGTAGGAGGGGAGAATTCCTCTGTTAAGTTTCTCTCTTAAGAAGCCATCCAGATTCCTGTGGCCATTTTAGTTTGTGTTATGTTTGGCTTAAGTTTTGAGATGAAGTTTTGCTTTGTTGCCTAGCTGGTCTTGAGCTCCCGGGCTAGAGTGATTCTGCTCAGCCTGCAGGTAGCTGGGACTTTTCTGCCACTGTGCCCTGCTCATTAAAACTTATTTCTACACCATTACTCCCCTCCTCCTTGTCCCTGATGCCTTTTGAAAAAAAAATAGTATTAGTTGTGGTCTAGTAGATTAACCAAGAGGAAGTGTTTTTATTCACATGTCCAGGGTGGGTACAGAATTGACTGTTACAAACTTTCATTGTCACATATTGTAGTAGGTGTGGTAAGGAAAGAAACTTTCATCGCTTTCTATAACTCTTCCTTTTCAGAGGTGTGGGCCTTTATTATCCAATAATTCATCAACTCCCAGAAGACTAGTCTTTTCTTTTTTTCCTTTAAGTATTGTTTGTTACCATTTTTTTTCCCTGAAAGTCTTCATACTTCTTTAGATTTAAAATAATTTTTATTTGAATAAAATCAAAATAGTTTGTAGTAATTTTTTCTATTTTAAGAGTTTTTTTTGTTTGTTTGTTTTCTTGTAATTCCTTTTTTAAAAAATACTCTTTCTCCAAGTGTTGGTGATGTACATTAGCCTGGAACTTAGAGATTTATATAACTCTATCTCCCAGGTGTTAGAAAAAAAGGCATGTATTCCCCTGACCTGTTTAAAAATTTATAATTATATTTATCATGTTCATGTGTGTATGTATACATACCACAGTGGACAAAAGGAGCCTTGAAATTAAACCAATCTGTAGAAGTTTGTTCTCTTCTTCACCATGTCGGGCATGGGGGTCCAACTCAGGTCTCAGACCCATCAGCAGAAATCTCTATACTGGAGCCATCTTTCTGTTAGGCCTATTATTCCAAGGCAAGGTCTCAAGTTGTCTAATTTGGTCTACAACTTGCTATGTAACTGAAGCTTGCCTTGAACTCTGGATTCTGTGATTATAGGCATGCACTATCACACAGGATTCATTTTTGATTATGTTTATAAGAATAATTTAGTTAAACTTCAGAGAATATACTTAAATAAGATATTCTTAAGAACAAGGCAAGATAGTTAAACAGGTGAAAGTGCTCACTATGCAAGCCTGGAAACCCAGGTTCCCTCTTTGAACCCACTAAAGGTGACAGGAGAGATCTGACTCCAGAAAGTCATCCTCTGACCTCCACAAGAATGAGGCATGCACAGCACCCATCACACACACACACACACACACACACACACACACACACACACACACACCCCCATCACACACCCCCCCATCACACACCCCCACCACACACCCCTCACACACCTGCATCACACACACATACACACACACACCTCCATCACACACACCTGCATCACACACACCCCTCACACACACACACACACACACACACCCCTCCATCACACACACCTCCATCACACACACCTCCATCACACACACCCCTCACACACACACACACACACACACACACACACACACAGCGCACCCACCACACACCCACACCCACGCACACACACACCCACACACACCTGCATCACACCCCCCTCCATCACACACCTGCATCACACACACCTCCATCACACACCTGCATCACACACAACCCTCACACACACACACACCTCCATCACACACACCTGCATCACACACCCCTCCATCACACACCCCTCTCTCACACACCCCTCCATCACACCCCCTTCACTCACACACACACCTGCATCACACACCCCTCCATCACACACCCCTCCATCACACACCCCTCCATCACACACCCCTCCATCACACACCCTTGCATCACACACACCTCCATCACAGCACCCTATCTCACACACACACACACACACACACACACACACACACACACACCTCACAGACACCCTCCATCACACACACCTGCATCACACACAACCCTCACACACACACACACACACACACCATCACACACACACACACACACACACCATCACACACACATACCATCACACACACCATCACACACACAGATACCATCACACACACACACACCATCACACACACACCTCCACCACACACACCCACACACAGTTTTCAGAAAAGACAAAAATAAGTTACATTACTCTTTTCAAGAGGAATGCAAGCCAGTCACTTTCAGTCTGCTCAGCTGAGACTCTGCTGCCAGAGGCCTCTATTTTGAGATAAGGGAAAGGGCCTAGTTCTTTTATACATGTTTAACTACTTTTATCATCTTAGGATCCCAGGTTCTGACCGAATCTTGCGCTTTGGGCTGTTGATGGCTTTATTCCTGTTGGAGTGCTGTGTGTTGTCATAGGTTATTTCAGGCAGGCAAGGGACGTTAAGTTAAGGAAAATAACAGGTTCCTAATCTTTTTCTTAACTCTTGAATTCTTTGTTTTCTGGCTTTAGGTGATGGATGATGAGTCAGATGAAAAAGAAGCAGATTCACCTTAAATAATCTGCATTTTCTTTGGCCGAAACCTTTGGATCTAACTGTACAGAGCCTTATTAATCTCTGCAATGGAGGTTGGTTAATAAAATGTTTCCTTCCTCCAGAATGATATAAATGGAATTTGCTGCACCTCATAAGTTATTTATACCATCCTGAGTCATTGTCCACACATGTGGATTTTATCCAGGGGTATTTTTTATTTTCACTCCTCATCTCTGCTGGTTCTTCCTTTGCATGCTATGTGAAACAGCTTAAAATACATTTCCCATTTAACTCATTTGCCTTTTTAAATATACAGAAATAAACAGAAAGAATGCTTTTAAAATATACTAAAATGACTTAGTTTTCCCTATGAGATATCCAAAATTATTTTTTACTGCAGTTTTCAGTTTATTAAAAAAAACAAAAAAACACTACATAATTCTGGTTTAAAATGGCAGCTGATGATAGCCCAGATGCAGGAGCCTGTAATACCATGAGATGCACAAAGAGAAGTGCCCTGAGTACAGCCTGGGGGAGGGAGAGAAGTGCCCTGAGTACAGCCTGGGGGAGGGAGAGCAGTGCCCTGAGTACAGCCTTGGGGAGGGAGAGCAGTGCACTGAGTACAGCCCCGGGGAGGGAGAGCAGTGCCCTGTGTACAGCCCCAGGGAGGGAGAGCAGTGCCCTGTGTACAGCCTCGGGGAGGAAGAGCAGGCTGAGTGCCTAGGCCAGCCCAGAGCAGCCCATGGACAGCTCAGCTCATGAAGCCCTGGCTCCCTGTGTGAGCCTCTCACCAGTAATTCAGAATTACTGCACTCTAACAGATGGAGACAGATCATAGAGTCCTTGATCAGCAGTTTTACTGGTTTGTGATTTGTGGTAGGATGCTAAGTGTCTGCCTTCAAATCAGACAAATTGACATGTATTTTTCAATTAATTGGATCTAGAAAATAAAATCAATAGGTTGAAACAGTTGTTCTGTTAGTGGTTGCCTTATAAGGTATAATTTAATCAGGTAATAGTTTTTATTGTTGTGCCTGCCATGGTGAATGCCTGTCATCCCAGCACTCCAGGGGTGGACAGCAAGATCAGAGGGTTCAGGTCCATGGGGACTATGTGAAACCCTTTCTCAAAGAAACCAAAACATTGGTAATAAACACTCATTAGTTGTACTTAGCTAAAATAAAAATAGAAACAAAAATTTCCCAGAAATGTATAAGCTATTGTTATGTAAATATTATTGAAAATGCCAGGTTCAGGCCAGTAAAGGCAGAAGGATCACAAGTTCAAGACCAGGGTTGGCTACTTAGTAGAATCATGTCTCAAAAAAAAGAAAAATAAAGGAGAGAAAGAGTGAAATGCTGAGGATATTGTACTGATAGGATGTTTGCCTAATATATATAAAGCTCTAGGTTTTATTCCTCAGCCCAGAACAGAAAAACAGTAAATGTAGGACAATTTAATAGGTATTTGAAACCAAGATTCTTAGTTAATAGCAAGATAGGTTCTGAGATTCCTTGCTGATGGTGTAGGGTAAAGTGCTCTGCAGAATGCTCATGATTTTTCACTAGCCATTTAACTCAAAATGCTGGGTAGGGGGCTTGTATATGAGGTCATATGGGAGTAATTATGCAAAAGTAGTAAATTTCCATTGATGGTTCACTAGGCAACAGCTCCTTACAGTTAGAAACTTACTAAATCCCATTAGGTTGGTAACTATTACCCCTGTTTTAATAGGTGTGATGGTGGAGGTACAAGGTAGACATTTTCCATTGCCATGTGCACAGCCCCTGTATTGGTCTGCTTTCGGGGTTCTGGACCCTCATCACAGAGGGAGGAGGCACTAGTGCCGTCTGCTGGGTAAGGATCTTCCCTGCTTGTCTTCAGTGCAGAGCTGCAGTAGACCAGATCAGTAGGGCATGCATGTGGGTCTGTTTCACCACCAAATAGGTTCCTACTCTGCACTGCCTCTCACACTTAATGTCAGCTAATAAATCCCCCTCTCCCTCCAGTTTACATGGGTTTCTGTTGTCATTTGTAAAGTTTGGAAAAAATCAATAAAATTACTGGTTTTCCAGAGTGTGCCATGTCATGTGTAAATTATGCAGAGAATCCTCATGTGCACATTTAGATGCATACAGCTAGGGAGCCTGGCAAATTCCAAACCTGAAGGATGGAGTTGAGCTGGAGACTCGGGGGAGAGCAGATGTTCAGATCTGAAGCCTGGTGGCTCCCAAGGTCTAGCTTAGGGAGATAGGTCTTATTCTAGTAGGACCTTCAGCTAACTGGAGGAAGTCTACCCCTAGCTGTCTGTTCTAGGTCCACTGAGTGAAATGTCCATCTTGTCCAAGTCATGCTTCCAGAGTTATCTAGAATATTTGGCTAAATAACTGTATAAAATGGTCCAGATAGGTTGATACATATAATTAACCATTTCACGTCTACCCCATCATCCACTCTGAATCTTTATGAATCTCTCTAAATCGTAGTCATCAAATAGAGCCACAAGAAGGTCATACTGCCACTTAACTTGTATGCACAGCTGAAACTCTAGCTCTGGAACAGGATGCCAAGTCCTTCCTTGATAGTCTGTAGTCTGAGTGCTAGAATGTAAAGTTAACAAAGCTTTATACTAATGTAGACATACCTTATGTTACCTAAGGATATACGAGGGAAGAAAACTTACCTGAGTATAAATATATGGATATACACATATGTTTGTAAGTAAGAAACATGGTAGTTATGGGTCTCTGACTGGTCACATGCTTGTGGCTGGCATTTACTCCTATTTCATAGCTCATATTTCCTTTGCCTTCAGGAAACAACTCAGATGGGTGTGGTCATGATCTGGTGAAGCAACCCCAACCTTCTTCCTTGCTGGTGTGCCCTACTAGCAGTTCTGTCTGGATTGCATTGTTGTAGTTTTTCATTACAATTAATCATAGGGGATGGGAAATGAAAGAAATGTCCTCCTTCCAGATGCCTTCCTCCTTAGTTTTGTGAGTTAGACATTCAGTTTCTGCACGATAAGATCTTCTATTCTACCCAACACCACCGTAACTCCCTTTGCCTTTTCTGCCTACTGATTTAGAGGAAAGAGCAGCCCCGAGCAGCATGGTAGCAGCCACCTTCTGGGTCAATAGAGTCACTGTTGTGTGTCCCCATACAACTTTTCCTTCCTTGGGGACTAAGACCACCAGATCAGCAGAGCATAAGGAAGCAATAATTTTGTTTATGGGTCACTAGGGGTAATAGTGACTAATCACACCCAAATGGAACCTCTTCTCTGGACTTTTGAGCTTTGACTATGGTAGAAAGGGTCACACACACACTAGGTACAAACAGCTTTCAAGGCCCCTTGCCTTAGCCTAACTTCACCTGTCAATCCAGCTGCTTTATGTAGCTGGCTCAGTGAAGTCAATGAGCCAGGCCCACTGCTGCCCTTCAACTGTTGTGAGAAGAGTTCCCTTATCAGAGTGCTGCTGTGTGTGAGTATGGTGGGTGTAAATTTGTGGGTGGTAGGTTTTGCCAGAAGTGTTGTATGCGGGGCAGGCAAATCCTTACCTGGAGTGCTGACTCCAGTAATAAAACACCATGATGTCCATTGATGAAAGGACTGGTGCCATCTTCCAGGCTCAATGGGTACACAGAAGCATCTGCAGCCAGGTCACCTATGAAGAGTGGTGGTCTGTGTTCCTGAACCCATGGTAGTCATTTTGTGTGTGAGCCCATCTGGCAATGGCACGTGTCTGGGAAAGAGGCTGCCTGCTGTCCACAGAGAAAGTCATCTACCTCTACCCTGCTTTATTAACTTGTCCTCGGCTGAGACTCCAGGAGCTGCCACATGGGGCACATCTTCACAGTTTGTGGCTCATCAGTAATGTTTCTTCCCCAGACATCCTTGCCTCCAATTTTCCAATCCTGTTTCTTCCATGACCATGGCCATCTAGCCAAACCATCTACTGTAGGCTATGAAAGCCCCCAAGTTTTGCTCCCATAAAGCAGCTGGTTTGACAGGTGAAGTTAGGCTAAAGCAAGGGGCCTTGAAAGCTGTTTGTACCTAGAGTGTGTGTGACCCTTTCTACCATAGTCAAACTCAAAGATCCAGTTTTGCTCCCTGGGAGTTCTTCAGGGGCACATCAGGAAGGGTCTTTCTTGCTGGCAGGTAGAACCATGTGTAAGCCAGTCTTCTCTTCCTCAGTTGTTCACAGTCTACTCTCTTCATGGGGAGTTTAGACTGAGCGAAAGAAGGCGTTGCAGTCCTAATACACAGTTGTGTAGTCTACTTTATGTGATTTGTGCCATTGGGCTGCTTGTGTGATTTCATGTGGAAATGGAGTTGCTACCACACATGCCAAACATTATGGCTCAGTGGGTCAGGTTACACCTAGTGCATGCTGGGAAAGGGCTGAGTGCTTAGTGACCTGAGAGTGAGAGGGGTTGTCCTTCTGTATGCTGTGAATATATGTTTCTCTTACTGGTTGATGAACAAAGCTGTTTTGGCCAATGGACGGGCAGGATGTATCCAGGAGGTATAGGTGGAGCTACCAGACTAGGAGAATTCTGGGAAGAGGAACACAGAGAGTGACTTGACAGGGAGACACCATGTAGCTTACCAGGATTGAACCCAAGGTTGGGGGCATGCTGGCCATGTGCTCTACCAACCAAGCTACATCTGCAGCCTAGAGGCTGGCTTTTTTTTTTTTTTTTTTTTTTTTTTTTTTAAGCAAACATGTCATGAAGAAGACTTAGTAAAGAACACCAAAGTTCAAGTCACCATCCTACTCTAGGACTCTTGTTCCTGCTTCTTCTCAGCAGGACCTCCTGGTGCTGCGCCAGCTGCTGGCAGTCCCCACAGTACAGGTGAGACTGTGCTCATGGTGACCAAGACCTTTACCAAGTTTCTACTTTTACACTGCTTCCTTGATGAGAGCATTGATCTTCTGTGATGGTTGTCTCATTGTCATGAAAGATGAGGATAGAGGCAGAGGGCCCTAGAGGAGGCCTGGTGAGGGCAAGGCAGAACTGATTCTGCCAGACATGGCTAAGTGCCACATGAAGTGAGGACCTTACCTGTCACTGCAGATATAAAGAACTAAGTGTTGTGGTGTATACCTGTAATCCCAGCACTAAGGCAGTAGAGGTAGTTCCAGGCTAGCCTGGGTTATACAGGGACACACTGTCTCAAAAAGAAAATTGAACAAAAAGCAAAATTGTTGAAGCTTGAGATGGTTTGAGGCTGTTTTATTTCTCAGAGAACTTCTAGGGGCTCAGGGTAGCTAGATTACAAGGCGCTGGAAGAGTTTGGCAGGGGGCAGTGACACAGAGCTGCTGGAGGTGTCTGGAGACCTGTGGGCTTCATGTGTATATGGGCTTAATCTTGTGGGGCAGTTACCCTGGAGCAGAGAGACACGATCAGGTCTGTATTTAAGGGCTGTTTTGGCAAGATTAAGCTGGGGCAGTCATGGAGCCAAAGGCCAGGGGTGTAACAATAAGTCTTTCTGCCAAGCCACCCGAGCCCTGCTTCCATGTGGCAGCTCTGCCAGGCTGCCCAAGTTCCACCTGCCACCACGTTAAGGTCCCAAGTAACAGAGACTTATATTAGATACAAATGCTGCTTGGCCAATGACTAGGATTTCTCATCTGTTAGCTCAGTCTTAATTATCATAAATCTATATATTTTATAAGACTTATCAAGGACACTTCCCACTGGCACCCTCTCTTGCCGGCGGATCACTCCAGAGCAGAGACCAGGAGGAAGAGAGAAGGGGCAACTGACTTCCTTCTTGCCCTTGCTTATATATGAGTCTCCCTACTATGTCACTTCCTGCCTGGATCACTACTTCTTTACTACATTTCCCAGAATCCTAGTCCCGCCTAACTTGCTGTCTCATTGGCCAAACAATACTTTATCATCCAATAAGACAAACACATACACAGAAGCACTTCCCCCATCACAGGGGTCTTTCTGTAGCTGTCTGTTGGTGGTGGCGGCAGCGCGGGCCTGTGTAATGGTGAAACCCAGGAGAAGGCCCTGGAGCTGGAGTTACAGACATTGTGAGCCACATTACTTGGGTGCTGGGACTGAACTCTGGTCCTTTGGAAGGACAGCAAGCACTCCAAATCTCTGAGCTGTTTCTGCAGCCTGGTGTGTGTTTTGAGACAGGGTCTCAGGCTGGCCTGCAACTTCTTTGCAGGATGATCATAGACTCCTAACACTTTGCCTCAGCCTGAGTTCCTGTCTAAGTGTTTTTCTTCTCACAGGCCTCGGGCTGAGTTTGTGTTTTTCCTTTTCTATTTGCCACCATCTTTTTTACCCATTGGGTACGATTTTCTACAAAACTGCCTAAAATTTCAAACATATATATCCTAGCACCTATCTTTTCATTTTATACAATAATACTTTTACTGATATTTATTGGAATTTGGATAAGGGGTAACAAAAATCACAAAGATGGGGAAGGTTAAAAATCTTAGGGCTATTTATATGATGGTTCATTTGAAACGTTATTTTTATATTTGTCTGTGTGCATGTGCAGGTGTGTGAAAGGCAGAGGATAAGCCTGGGGAACCAGTTTTCTTCCACCATGTGACTTATGTGGATAGAACTCGGGTCATTAGGCTTGGTAGCAAGTGTCCTCCAACTAAGCCACCTCACAGGCCCCTTTTCTTTAGACTCAGTGACCAGGAGCTCTTGTGGCCTTCAGTTTATGAAATTGCATAATAGTAGGGTCACAGCACAGAGCCACCAGATTTAATCAAAATAGACTCCTATGAAGAGAGGACAAATAAAACTGTGTTGGCTAGTCTTATGTCAGCTTGAAATGTTACCTGAAAGGGGGAAACCTCAATTGAGAAAATGTCTCCATAAGAGGCTGTACGGCACTTTTTTAAAAAAGATTTATTATGTATAGTGTTCTGCCTGTATATACCCCTGCATACCAGAAGAGGGCACAAAATCTCATTATAGATGGTTGTGAGTCACCATGTGGTTGCTGGGAGTTGTACTCAGGACCTCTGGAAGAGCAGCCAGTGCTCTTAACCTGTGAGGCATCTCTCCAGCCTCTGTAAGGCTTTTTTTT